TGATATGAAAGCCTGTATTCCCAAGAAGCACACTGTTGAGGGAATGACTCAGATAAGCTAAACAGATTTGCAGTTATTTTTTAAGTGTCAGTGGAAGCTGTTGTTCTAATCACAGTTTCTCCTTGACAAGGAGTTTTCCAGTATTTGCATCCACTGGCTCAACCATACAGCAAAAAAATAAAAATAAAAATGTATTTGATAAACATTTAAAATGATAGACATTAGCCATTTCTGATATCATACTTGTGTACATCAGTGACAGGATAATGACATAACTTCAGCCATCCCGAATGTGGATCCCTGTCTGTCAACTGCTTTGCCTGTGTTATATGCTGCCCCACTGCTACACTGACGGCTGACTCAGCTGGGTTGGTTGATGTATTTGTTTCAGCCCAGCTGTGTATGCCAACATTCAAACTGTGATTTTACAAGCATCAGACCACGCACAACCTTTTGCTGGCATGAAAGTTCTATATACTTGGATTCAGTTTCATTTAGTACTTGATATTGGGTCACCAATAGGGCAGTGAAACAAAGACTCAAACACTACTCTTTGAGGCTAATCATGATAATAACCTTCCACTGTCAATGGAGGCTGCTGATTTAGGTACAATTCTACACTGAATAGGATATTTATCATATGGGATTCTTTTCCCAACATTGTTCTAACTCACAAAGAAAGTAGTAGTTGTTTTTACTCTCCTGTTTTCTGCTGCAATATTAATCAAATGCTAAATCTCCATCCTCTATAATGGACCAATTCTTCTCGGTTTCTCTCTGAAAATTAGTTGAGATGTACTTTCCCCAGCAGATGTGATTTCAAACTAAAGGAAACCAATTTTACAGCAAACCCAGATAAATCTGTTTTCTAAAGCTGTTTTCTAGATAAGGGGCCCAGTTTTGATTCCAGTAAAGTTGACGAGAGCAAGTGTTGACGTAGAAAAGCTTGTTTACCATATTTTTTAAACCAGGTTCATCCAACACTGGTTTAGTGCCCCAATATGACTGAGGCCTCAGGCTTGTAGGAAAGCTACAACCAAGAATCAGTAGGTATGGGCAATTGGATGAAGGCAACTGGACAAGAGTCCCCAAAGACTGGAAATACTGTTCAGAATACTTCACAAAAACAAAAGTATGAACAAAATGTTCCAGCACTTATACCTCACTAATTCCCACTAATGCCCAGGAAGCCCATTGCAAAGGATCACGTTTGGAGAATTAGTGAGTTAATGGCCTAATCCAAACCCAGTGAAACCAGTGAGAGTCATTCCAATGACTTCAGTGGGCATTGGATGATGAGTAATGAGAAATGATAAAACAGTAAGGATACATAACAAAATGTACTTTGTTTATCTGTATATAATTGTATTGCCAATGATGTTTCAGTGCATACAAGCATCCAATTTTTGTCATCTGCAAGCTTAATTAGAAGACATAAAATCCTCACTGATGAAATTTGGAGATGACACAAAAAATGGGGGAGTCACAAATAATGAAGAGGACAGGTCACTGATACAGAGCCTTCCGGATTGCTTGGTTAGCTGGATGCAAGCAAGCAATAAGCTGTTTTGATACAGCTAAATGTAAATGTATACAACTAGAAACAAAAAATGTAGGCCATGCTTACAGGATGGGGGATTCTATCCTAGGAAACAGTGACTTTGAAAAAGATTTGGGGGTTGTGGTGGATAATCAGCTGAACATGAGCTCCCAGTGTGGCACTGTGGCCAAAAGGTGCAATCCTTGGATGCATAAACAGGAGAATCTCACGTTGAAATAGAGAGGTTATTTTACCTCTATATTTGGCACTTCTGTGATGACTTACTGTGTCCAGTTCTGCTGTCCACAATTCAAAAAGGATGTTGATAAAGTGGAGATGGTTAAGAGAAGAGCCACGAGGATTAAAGGAATAGACTCACAGAGCTCAAATGTGGGTGACTTGATCACAGTTTATAAACACCTACCTGGAGAAGAAATATTTTATAATGGTCTCTTCATTGTAGCATACAAAGGTGCAACATGATCCAGTGGCTGGAAGTTGAAGTTAGAAAAATTGACACTGGAAATAAGATGCACATTTTTAACAGTAAGGGTAATTAACTATTGGAATAATTTACCAGGGGTTATGGTGGATTCTCCATTACTGGAAATTTTTAAATCAAGACTGGATATTTGTCTAAAAGCTCTGCTCTAGGAATTATTTGGGGTAAGTTCTCTGGCCCGTGTTATACAGGAAGTCAGGGTAGATGATCACAGTGGTGATCTGGCCTTGGAATCTATGAATCAATTCTTTGTAAAAGTAAGAAAGAGCCTTAAGGCAAGAAGAACAAAGAATGATCTGTTGCAGGATGGTTGAAAAGGGAGCTGCTATCATAGAGACCATTTATGATGGAGTCAAACATTTTGCTTTTGGACAGACAGTGGTGGGGAAAATGGGTTGCCTCATGGGCCACTAGGCACAGGAGATTCTGGATATGTCTACACAGCAAAGAAAAACCTGTGGTCTGGCCTATGCCAGTCGACTCAGGCTTGTGAGGCTCGGGCTGCGGGGCTGTTTCATTGCTGTGTAGACTTCTGGACTCTCATCCAGTCCCTGCTATCACAGGCAGTCTCCTTACAGCACTCTGATATTTGCTGAGCAGTGGGGAGAGGGTTGCTTTCTGTGTGTAAATGGTGTTCTGGGATGATTAGCAAAGTTATACTGCAATTTTTCTTTTTTTCCTAATTGTGATTGATGGGTGGGGGGAGGAAATAATTGTAGATAAAATATCCTACCTAGGAAGGGAATATTGTTGGCAGTAGCAGATAATTATCTATACCCTGCAGAAGACGTTTTGCTACTGAAATCTCAGCACTATTTTGAATCTGATTTGACAGGTTTTATTCATGCTGCCTTCTGCTATGCTAGTTTGAGGGGAAATACAGTCAAGAAGGGAACAAATGGTTTCTTTTAGTAATTTTCAAATACTTTTAAAAACTAATTTTTGGCGGTGGAAAGGTTGATAAGAAAACCCATCTAAGAGCATACAAATAAGGGATTAAACCCATTTGGTGTCAGCAGCGAAACTGATCCATTTGGCCTTGTCTTTTAACTGCATGAGATGCAGGAAAATATTAAAGAACACTCCCCATTGTCATACAGTCACAAAGGAGGAAAGCATACAATAGAACACAGAAATAGCCCACTCACTCAACATTTAGATTATTTCATAAGCCAAATTTACATATATCTAAAGACTGACTGTATGGATTCATATAAGGAAGATCATGTCTAATAGGTTACATTACTGAGTGAAGTCAATGGGACTTCTCACAGGTGAGGAATTTTCATACATTGCAGAATATGGGCCTTAATAGATAAGGGAGAAAATAGACAGAATTTATTTGAATGTCTAGAAGATATTTGAGACCAACTAGCAGATTATTTTACAAACTAAAAAGCATGGTGTAATTGAGACATATTAAAATGAATTAAAAACTAGCATAAGATCCAGAAACCAAGAGTGCCAGAAAAATAAAACCATTTAGGGTGAAAGATAACATGGCAAATTCTGAGTTGGTATGCAGTGGTGCAGCTATATTAGTCAATGGAGGGTATGTTGCAGATCTAGCCCATAGTCTGCAAGGATAAGTATTACATCTACTGTTCTGTGATTTGCAGAGGTTCTCTCTCCATTCCACCCATCACCGTAGTATCTAAGTGCCCCTGCTACTGCAATGACTTTAAGGAAGATTTAATTTCTAGTGTGACTAAATTTAGCACACAAAATCAACAGAAAAGTGGGGCAATTATAGAAGAACAAGTTCAAAGTAATTTGTATAGATCAGGGCCTAAAGTGACTTCTGACATTCAGTGTACACTCTGAGAGGAGGACACTAGGGGCTAAAAATAATCATAATGGCTATAGCCTCCTCTACACACTACAGAGCAAAGAAAAGGCTGGAGAATTATCACAGTTAATAAAACTAAATCCAACCACATTTTGCAGCAGTTGTATTAGTAAGCCAGATCTAGGGATGTACGGGTATAGGACATACTGTGTGGGCTAATGTGCTGGCACCATCCTGCACTTGTAAGGTGATATTTAGAATGTGAGGTGAAGTTCTGATTATTTTGTTATGGGGAGGATATAGATAGAAATTGTGATAGTCAAGGGCAGTCAAAATTATTCAGAGCTTACTGGGGAGTTGTGAAGATTTGTCAGGTCTGACCTCTGTAGCTTAGAAAAAAATGATACTAATGATGATTTTCCTAGTGGTGTACTAGATCCTGAATGGGAACGGAAATAAGCAGTTTGAGAAAATGAGATTTTTCAGGAGCAAGAAATCCTCGCCTGAAGTTGAGGAAGGAATAGAAGCAGCATCCTCCAGTTCAGGCTGAGGTTCTGTACTCGTACAGTTGTCTCTACTTCTATGTACTGAACAAATCAGCATAGCCAGCTACAGCGCTGAGAGCTGAGCACGTGGTTTTATAGCCTGAAATGGGGGGTTGCATCCCTTGTTAATGTGACTCAATAGCCGCTAGATTGTCATCACCAAATCTTGCCTTCTCGCACACCCATGTAACCCCATTCGTTTCAGTGGGGTCGTGGGTATAAGCAAAGGCTCAGTTTGGTCTGTGAGGTTTAGCTCCATAGCAGAGTGTGGCTTTAAGCCAACAAAGCTTTTGCAATGCCTCCTCTTTCTCCTTTTAATAACCATTATTTTCTAAGTGCATTACCTCATATTTTGGCCACATACCAGACGTGTGTGTCCTGAAGGAAAAAAAGATAAATGTTTTACTGTCTGACTGATTCATCCATATTTTATTTTATTTTTTCCTTAAGAAATCTACTGTTTAAGGAAAATCAATTCTCTTCAGTAGCTATTGGGAGAGGTTAAAATAGTACATGACAGATGGTGCATTTTAATTGCTAGAGAACTTGAACTATTAGCAAGCTACTGCTGGACACTTGGAATGTGGTGTTAAAAGATCTGTCTATCTCTTTATATATTTGTAGCTTGGGTGCATGGTGACCCCAGGAAGGTGGTCTATCCAACTGACAGCTATGGACAGTTCTGCGGCCAGAAGGACACCATAAATGAGTGAGTACTCAGAGGATTCATCTGGCTTTATTTCTCATGAGGCATGCATGAGAAATGAGGTATCAGCCCTCGGCCTCCTGGGAATTAAATTGGAAGGCTGCAGAAGAAGCAACCTCCACCCCACCGTACTGTATTTATTCCAGTTAAGGTTTCTGAAAAGCTCAGTTGATCAGTGGAAATTTAGACCTGAGTTATTTCTGTAATGCAGCTGTTTGCATAGTATGGAGACTGTGAATAGTAAAATACCATTATAAAGTATGGCTTGTGCCATTAAGTGCAAAGAGATCCATCCTAGACAAATTAGAGGATTAGGCCAAAAGAAACCTGATGAGGTTCAACAAGGACAAGTGCAGAGTCCTGCACTTAGGACAGAAGAATCCCATGCACTGCTACAGACTAGGGACTGAATGGCTAGGCAGCAGTGCGGCAGAAAAGGACCTAGGGGTTACAGTGGACGAGAAACTGGATATGAGTCGACAGTGTGCCCTTGTTGCCAAGAAGGCTAACGGCATTTTGGGCTGTATAAGTAGGGGCATTGCCAGCAGATCGAGGGACGTGATCATTCCCCTCTATTCGACATTGGTGAGGCCTCATCTGGAGTAGTGTGTCCAGTTTTGGTCCCCACACTACAAGAAGGATGTGAAAAAATTGAAAAGAGTCCAGCGGAGGGCAACAAAAATGATTAGGAGGCTGGAGCACATGATTTATGAGGAGAGGCTGAAGGAACTGGAATTGTTTAGTCTGCAGAAGAGAAGAATGAGGGGGGATTTGATAGCTACCCCCAACCAAAGAGGATGGGTCTAGACTGTTCTCAGTGGTACCAGATGACAGAACAAGGAGTAATGGTCTCAAGTTGCAGTGGGGGAGGTTTAGGTTAGATATTAGGAAAAACTTTTCACTAGGAGGGTGGTGAAGCACTGGAATGGGTTACCTAAGGAGGTGGTGGAATCTCCATCCTTAGAGGTTTTTAAGGTCAGGCTTGACAAAGCCCTGGCTGGGATGATTTAGTTGGGAATTGGTCCTGTTTTGAGCAGGGGGTTGGACTAGATAGCCTCCTGAGGTCTCTTCCAGCCCTGATATTCTATGATTCTATCTATGAGCTCTCACTGTCTGCTGCTAGCTACCTGCTGCCTTTATGCTACTAGAGAGAGCGATGTGTGGTCTGAGCTCAGGTCTGGGGGACAGACAGCTCTGACACAGACTCCCTCTTTGGCCTTGGTCTTGTGTCTTAACCCAACTTTATTTTCCAATCTCTTAAATGTGGGTGGCAATTCCTAGCTCATCTGGGGAGCTGCAAGGATTAGTTAATCTGTTAGTATCTGTGAAGTACTTGCAGATGAAAAGAGCTATATGGGTCGAAACATTATTTCTATGAAAACTGAAGCTGGAGCCATGAAACCACATTACAGGAAAGTTTTTCCTTTTTTTAAAGTTTGCATTGAACACCCCTCACTTCATTATCACTGATATTAAATCCAGTTCCATGCAAGCAGCAACCAAAAGCACACAGTTGATGCAACTCTTCTGCTGCCTCTTATTCCTCTTCCCATTCAGCTTGCAGGGATGGAACAGAGGAAGCAAGTGTCCAGGCCCCTTGCATGGAGATAGGGAGTAGTGTGGAGGAACACCCAAGATGGTGTCCCCTCCCAGGCAGGGAAGGGAGCGGAGGAGAAGTCTGGAAACAGTCTGTGCCACTTGCTCTTGCAGATTCCTGCATGGAGCTGGAGAGAGCTGCAGAGAAGTGGCTGGAAAAGTTCCACCTTCCCCTGCATAGGGAGGCAGAATTGTCAGGAGGAATTGCTCCAGGTCAGAGTCCTACAGGGATCAGGAGAGGCAACTGGACCAGGAGCCAAGCCTTCCGTGGGCCTGTGCAAAGCAGTAGGGCCGCAGGATTTGGACGGGGACACACACACACACACACACACACACACACACACACACACACACACACACACACACACACGATGGCAGGGCTTGGAGAAGCGGAAACAGGTAGTGACATTGGTGGCTGGTGGCTTCCCACCCCTTGGGGGAAGCAGAAGGATTCTTTTGCATTCACCCCATTTTCTGTTGTCCATTGTGCATGTTCTGTCTCTCTATCTCTGTTGCTCACTTATTTTCTCTCTCTCTGTTACTTGGCTCTTCCTCTTTACTTCTCCCTTGTATGTCATCCTTTCCCTGGTTCATACAAACACAAATTCTCTTTCCCTCTCTCCTCCCTTGCTGGGGATGTTGGGGGGTGAAATATTGCTGCTGAGGCTGAGAATTGGCACTCAGTTTCCATGTTGAGGGAATTGCTATAAATGGATAAGCCAGAAGTGACATAGGAACATTTGGCCAGTGGCCACAAGAGAGCTTATGGCAGCCCTAGCATCAGAAGCAGCCCAGGGAGCCCCTCTAAACAACCACAGACCAGCTCTTCTTGACTCCTAAAACTCTGAGGTGGAGAGGATTTGGCTAGGTGCTTCACAAGCCCCAAAGACCAGTCCTGGACAGCTGTAGTGTCAAGCATTAGTAAGTAAGGGGAATCCCTGATAAACTTTCATCCCTAATGAAAAGCTGTCAAAGGGGTCCTGCAATGCCTTCATTGTTCCCACTGATAGTTCCCACATAGCCCCATGGGGGATGGGGTTTGCAGACCTGGGACTGTGGGTTTGTGGGCCTCCAAAACGGGCTTTGACACCTACGTGCCGGTTTCCTGTGGAGAGTGGTGGCATCTCTTTATTGTGACTCTTGCGCCTATATTAATAGCTTCAAACATACCCGTAATATTTGTGGGGAAAGTCGTATTTCAGAAACCGTGAAATGTAAAACCAGGCCTGGATCTATAGAGATCTGAAAAAACAATTGCGCTGCAATGAGTTCCGTACAGTCAAATTAATTCCACCTTGTGTTGCCTTCAGAATCCCTCTAGGGGAATTCTGCACCTTTGCATCTCATTGTATCCACCCATTGATCTCCTCCATATAAACTCTAAATTTGTTTTGCCTTATATAGAACAAAAGGCAAGCACAGAATACAATTTACTTTAAAGGACGCAAACCTAACTCTGTGTGGCCACTTTCCTCTGCCATATACAATTAATCTTTGTTGTCTCCTGTTAATGCCAGCAGCCATCAAACACCTCAATGTGAGAGTAAAATAATGTGTTAATGACATGGGCTGTGCTGAGTCACTCACAAAGAGTACATACTCCCAGGGAACTCTTACAGAGCAGTGATATTTCAGCCCAAAATGTTACTCAGTTGATTTGAAGAAATAACAGCTAAGAATTGGGAGTTTTATTTGCAAGGAGTGTATGACTATTTCCTTAACTAGTATGTGACTGAATGTGTGAGAGTGAAAACATCCTGACCTTTTAAAATGTCAGGCCAGATGAGCTACTCCCAGTTGCACAGAGAGTTATGGTTTGCAACACTTACATGTTATGGGCCAGAGTGGGCCTTGAAGGCACAGCCATGCAGTGGGGTGGGAGGCAGCTGTGTTGCAATGGGGGTTCTGGAGGAATCGCATGCTGCAGGGGATTTGCCCTTACGTTTTGCAAGGCTGCAGCATGCAGTCCTCTCGCACCCAGCTAACTTCTCTGCCTAGTGTGGAGGGGGCAGGACCGTGGCCTTGTCCATACCTGCTCCCTTTGAGGAGGTCTCCACTAGAGCTGACCGCAGGGCGACAATTCCATTTCACAGCAACTTCTGAGATTTCAAAATTTGTTTTCATTCCACATTGGAATGAAGATGTTCCAACCAGCTCTAGTCTCCACTGCTGCTGATGCAAGTCTACTGCAGTAGCTGCATGCCCTGGCCACATTGTGCCTGGCCCTGGCGTAAGGGTGAAGGGTCAGAAGGCTATTTCCCCTTCCCTTCCCCATCATGCACACAGTCTCCCCCTTACTTCTGACCAGTACTTGGGTTTGTGAAAGTCCCTTTCAGGTGCTGTGCTCCTGTTTTCCCAGGCAGCTGCTTCAGGTTTTGAGCAACAAAAAACTCGTTTGATTTTTGGTGCCACCTTCTGATTAACACAAAAACATCAGCTGGTACAGCTTGCTGTGTGCTAGTAGTAATTTCATATGCTGTATGTACAAAATAGGTTCAGCATATGCAGGTGAACTACAGAGCATGAAGAGGTGGTTTGCCATGTAAAGCGCAAGCCTTCCAGTTCTCGAGCCAGGTTCTGGGCCATCTCGAAGAACAAGTGGATGTCAGCTAAGGCTCCTGTGCAGGAAAACACTCCTCAGAATGACTACTCATGAAACAAAGCAGTTTGACTTAACATACATTTAAGCTTGGGCACTTCAGTTTCTGCTTGATTTTCATTTCTCACCTGGGATTTGCAGTAGTCTTTTAGGATAACAGTATTTAAAATTGATAGTGTACATTGTAAATCCATATATGGTATGTGAGTATAGTATAGTATATAAACATCTATACATATTAAAATAGTTATTTTTATTCCTATTTCTCTATAGGAACAAGACCAGTTTGTTTTACTTTAACATTCTGAAATGTGCCAGCCCAATAGTGCTAATAAACCTACAGTGCCCTACAACACAGGTAAGTGAAATACAGGGAGAAAACGTTCTCACTGCCTCTTGCTTATTGCTGCTTAAAACTTGACAGAAGTCATTTGATCGACTAGTTGCATTTTATAGAATGTAGTTTGATCATATTGTAGAGTGCAGTGTGTGTATAGCATGTATCTGAATGAACAGTGTAGCAGATTCAGTGTCTATTGTTAACAGGGCAGGAGAAAATAAATAGAAATGCATAGAACTGTTTGTTTTGGATTTAGAGTTGAAAAAATTCCCCATGTGAGTGTGACTGGGTTTGGCTAATTGTCCGTCATGAATATAGCACGAGTGACTGTGCAGCAATGTAGTTCCTGCACATTATTATAGCCATTTTTCAGAAAATCATTTTGACTGGCGCACAGATTTTTCCAAACCAGCCATGTTTAAAAAAATGCATATTTTCTTGTTTACAACCGACAATAGTGTTCGTTTGTCCAGACATGTTACATGCCTTCTGAGGAATTGGTAGTGGTCAGCGCGATTGTTTAATGTTAAATAACCCTTAAGTTTGGCTAATCACTTGTTGAATGCTCACTAATCAGTATCCCAGTAGAAGAGAGGCATACATAGCTTGCGTAGACAGAGGCTGAGCGCTTGTCAACACTTACAGCATTGCAGCTGTGCCACTGCAGCGCTTCGTGAAGATGTTACCTATGCAGATGGGAGAGCTTCTGTAGGTACTCCACCTCCCCAAGCACTGTCTACACTGGGGATTAGGTCGGTATAACTACATTGCTCAGGGGTGTTGAAAATCCCTGAGCGATGTAGTTACACCAGCATAAATTCCTAGTGTAAACCAAGTAATATAATCTGGTCCTGTCACTTTGGTAGAATATTAAATGAATCTCTGTGTTGATTTGTGCTGCTGTGGTCTTGACTTTGTTACCTCACTGTGCCACAGTCTCTTATGTTACAGGGAACACTGTATAATGTTAAAAAATATATAGGTCAATGCTATTGCTGTTGTGCAATGCACTCGTGGATTAGGGCTTGTGCTGTAATAAAGTAATCACTACTGTGAGGCAAGCAAGGTGGAATGTTCGTCACAAACAGGTTGTGTTTTAATTTGTCTATTTTCAGGTTCACAACAGATCTGTGAAACTGGAGGGGGTTTTCGACATTTTCTAGTCTTTGGATGATAATTCAGATTAAAGGTTTTAACTCTCTGGCTGTTGTGAAAATGCTGAAGAACCACTTGGGCTTAATACGTCACACTGTGACTTTTCGAGGAGGTTGTGGTGGTCCCCCAAGCCAGATCATTTACATGTGTGAGCGCAGGCCTGAGAATCAGGGAGGGCCTGAGTTCTGTTCCTACTTCTGCTGCCACTGACAGGCCTTGCTAATACTATGGATTTTAGAGGCCTGTACAGACAATGTTTAAATGTTGCTTTGCAACACTAATGCGTGGCAAATATCAGTGCCAGTTTTACAGATGGGGAAAGTGAAGTTATAATAAGTGATGTGCAGACAGCGATTCATTGTCCGAACAAGGATAGAATTCAAATTTCCTCATTCCCTGATCCAAGGCTAGTCCACTAGACTCTTGTACCCACCAGGTTCTAGCCTATTGTATAAGATCCCTTTCTGGTATGGACATTCCCGTTCATAATGTGAAAAAATGACTTAGGGCACTTGTACGCTATGCCCTTGAGGGGAAATTCACTTCCTTCTATGGTAAGTCTCTGAGGAGGAGGGGGTCCAGACTGGGTAGCTTTGCAGGGGGTGCAGCCTCTCTAAAGCCACTCTATGCCACAGAGGCGGGCTCACAGGAACATTGAGGAGGGCAGAACATGATCATGGACCCAGTGATCAGGAAGTCCGGTTTAGAGTGTGTGCTGGAGCAGCAGTCACTACTTCATACATGCTATTCAGATGCAGCCTACCTGTGGGTGGATCCAGTCATTCCCAGCTCTTAGTTTCTCACACACATCTTGCTTACTTTGGCTTTAGTTGGGGAGATGTGAATTTCGCCCTTGGCATGTGCACCTGACTTGCTTTGACACCAGCGGGAACTCTGTCATGGGTAAAGGGCAATTTACTGTCTTAATTTGGTACACCCCCTTAGAGGCATGTAAAGCCAGCATCATTGAAAGCGGGTTTGACTGAAACTACTGTATAAGAGAGTGAAGCAATTTTTAGCTTCATCAGATTTTATTGATCACAGTGGTCTTGTGTCTTGTGCCATGCCACATGTCTTGTGCTGCTGCACCAGCATATTCATATACACAGCTGTCTGTGCTTAGGGGGTTAGATCAAGGCCTTTCTGGGGATTTTTTTCGTGTGTATGTTCAATAAAAAGTTTTAAAAAACAAACTTAAAACTGTACATGTGTATCAGAATGTATGGAGACCACCAAGACATATGGAGGCAGAGCGATTGGGAGATACAGAACTTGGGGAGAGATTTGAAAAGGTCTATCAAAAGCACTAAAAAGTGTTTATCTAGAGATTCTAACAATAGACACTGTCCCTTTCTAAATGCTACAATAAGCATTGCTCCAGGCAATCTGATAAAACAGGGCACTTTTATAGATGGCCATTTTTTTGTCTTGCTGTTTTGATAGCATGAGTGGGTTGTTTTGGGAGGGTTTTTGTTTGCTTTTTGTTTTGTTTTTTTCCAATTTATAATTATGCATTTATTTCTTCCTTACAGCTTTGTGTCTCAAAGTGCCCAGACAGGTTTGCAACGTACATAGACATGCAAGCTTCCTACAGACATAACAAAAGTTATTGGGAGTACTACAGGCAGTTCTGCAAACCTGGTTTTAATAAGCCTTTGAAGGTGCGTATATATACATACATAAGTATAGATGGGATACATTTAAACTATAGATGAGCCTTAGTGTGCATAAATCAGTCTAACTCCATCAGAATCAATGGAGCTGTGCCAAATCATCTCAACCGAGGAGCTCTTCTGTAAGTGTATTTCAGCTCTGAGTTTGTCAAGAGTTAAGATCTGCTAGCCAGACAAAATCCCCAAATCTTTAAGTGATTACCAAAGGCTCAGTTCAATGGAAAATATCTGCAGACTTCCATGCTGTGGATTTTTGGTTCTATAGGGTATGTCTACACTGCAGTGTAAGCCCAGGATTTGTGGGACTCAAGTCAGCTGACCCTAGTTTGGAGAACCCAGGGCTTGAACATCTACACTGACTGTTAACCCTACATTAAGAATTTTCCAATTTGGGCTTAAACCTGTGGCTCTGGCATCCACACTCCAGTGCACAGACCTGAGTCAAACCATGCATATACCAGACTCCCTAGCGCCCTCCCAAAATTTGGCCGCTCTAGTCCTTTGACCATGGTGAACTGTCCACCTTGCACATTACAGCAAGTTTGAACAGTCCGCCAACACATCCTTCCTAGCTGTCTTTTTGGTGTGTGTGCGCCCAGGTATGGAGCCAGCAACATGGAGGAGACACATTTTCAAGAAATTCTCTTGCTTGCACTTTCGCTCTCGTGTCAGAAAACAGGCAGAGCTTCTGTGAGATGCTGATGGACACTTTGGTGGCATTTTCTGACCCACCAAAGGCACCTGACAGAGCTTATAGTGGAGCAGCAGGAGGAGGAGGATACCCAGGCATGGTAGACTCACACTGGCTGATGCTGCTCAGTACACTCAGTATAGCCACTGATAACATCTATGTGAGGGGTCGGCAACCTTTCAGAAGTGGTGTGTCGAGTCTTCGTTTATTCACTCTAATTTAAGGTTTCGCGTGCCAGTAATACATTTTAACGTTTTTAGAAGGTCTCTTTCTATAAGTATATAATATATAACTAAACTACTGTTGTATGTAAAGTAAATAAGGTTTTTAAAATGTTTAAGAAGCTTAATTTAAAATTAAATTAAAATGCAGAGCCCCCCGGACTGGTGGCCAGAACCCGGGCAGTGTGAGTGCCACTGAAAATAAGCTTGCGTGCCGCCTTTGGCACACGTGCCATAGGTTGCTTACCCCTGCTCTACGTAGACCAGCACTTCTGGCACAGGGCCACAAGCACAGACTGGTGGGATCACATCATCATGCAGACCTGGGATGATCAGTAATGAATCCAGAATTTTCACATGAGGAAAGCTACCTTTCTGGAGCTTAGTGGGCAGCTTGCCCCAAGACCCCAGCCTAAAGACACCTGCATGAGGTCAGCCTGTCTGGAAGCTGGTTGCTATAACTGGCTGGAAGCTGGCTAACCCAGACTGCTACAGGTTGGTTTCCAGCCAGTTTGGCGTTGGAAAGTCGACTGTGGATAAAGTGGTGGCAGAGGTTTCTGAGGCAGTCAGGCATGTGGTTTACCCCAAAGTGGCAGGCATAAAAGATATTCCTGAAGTAACTGCTGGCTTAGAGAGAATGGGGTTTCCTAATTGTGCTGGGACCATTGATGGGACTTATGTGCCCATAGGTTGCCATCCTTAAGGAGCATGAATACATAAACCACAAAGGGTACCACTCCATTGTTATACAGACCCTCTGGACCACAGAGATTAATTTATGAATGTCAATGTGGGTCAGAATCCATGAGGGAATCAGTAGGATGCTGTGTCAGCTTCCACATGGCTTACCCTGTTATGGCTGCATGCAAACACACACAACTTAACAGCCTTCCTCCTCTGCCCCCGGCACGTTTCTGGACAAAAATTCAAATCCAAGTTGAATTTGGCACAATTGATTTTGTCACCTATGGACTGCATGGACTGTCTCTAATTGAAATGGAGTGGACAAGCTGCTGCCATACAATCCGCCATTAGCAGGATACATGTTGCTAGCCGTTATGTGACTTACGTCCAATAGTTTTTGTGTTTGGTTCATAGAATGGAAATTCCTCCTATTACTGTATTAATAAAATTAAAATGGAGCCAGAAACTCACTGCGCTCAGGGACAGCTTCTGTGTCTGGTGCATGCTGTGCAATGGGCTGTTTGTCGGGGGAGGGGGCATCAAGCAGGTCCAGAGTTTGGCCCCAGGGTGTGCAGCGGTTCCAGCTCCAAAACCTCTTTTGGGGCTGGTTTCAGCAACAGACTTCACTGTCCTCACTCAGCACCTGCTGCTGGCTCCCATCAGTCCCCATCAGCCATCCCAGCTGACCGGGTCATCGTGCACCACCGTTGGCTCCGTGCTCAGAGCAGTGCCCAGCACCTGGTCCAACTCCTCATAAAATGGGCATGATGTTGACGAGTTGCCCGAGGTGCAGTTCTGGTCCCTGATTTTCCCGTACTCTGTCTTGAGCCACTCAGTCCACTCCGTGCACTGGTCACTAGTGCAGTAAAGTTGCTACAGTGCCAGTTTCTTTGCCGGTATGTCTGATCATTCCTGGTACTCTTACTAATGCCCACTGTTGTGCTGGACTCTCAGCAGAGACTTACCAAAATCTGGCCGTGCTCCTGTGACCATAAAGCAGTGTGCTGTGCAAAAAGCTGTTTCTGTTCGGTCTCCATTGCAAGCATAGAAGGCTTTCCAATGGCGTGATTGCAGCTTGCTGGTCAGAAGTGGATGGAAGGGTTAACGCTGACTCACCAACCTGCAGGAGTGCACCAAGGGGGGCGGGGGGTTGCTTCTATTTTCACTGGAGTCCACTGGAGATTCTTGGGATAGAGGAGAAAGGAAGTTGGTCCATGACATTGTGGGATACTTTTGGCAGACTCCCAGGACCTGGGTCGGGGGGGCTGCATCTATACTGCAAAGCAAAAGGGGTCAAACTCTGGGTCCTGGCTTGACTGGGCTTGATCCCTCCTCCCCCACCGGGTCTTAAGACACTTGGTCCGAGCCTGAGGCTGACAGATTTGTGTGTAGACGGAAGAGGGGGTTGGGCTTAAGCCTGACTCTAAGCCCGAGCTTACATTACAGTATAGATGTACCCAGAGAAGCCAATTTTCTCCAGTATATAGGTTTAGGCTGCACTGATCCACAGTGGAGAAGGAGAGCTCAGACTAGTACTAACAAGTTCCCCTTCATCCTAGAGAGTTTTATATCTGAATCAGCAGGCATTGTAGTACGTCACCTGCAGCTTCTCACTCAATTTTTTTTAGCCAGGGAATTACTCCAGCTTTGCAATAAGATGACCATTTTGAAATACCATGGGTTTGCATTTGAACATACCTTAATATTCCTCCCACAATAAAAACACTTGCAACTCTAACATCAGCCTGAAGTTAAATGTACTAATTATGTTATAACAAACTTTTTTTTCTATGAGAGACAAAAACACCTGCCCAAACACCACTGGTTCGTAGGCAGGTCTGTTGCCTTCTGTTTTTATCTTATTACCATTAGAAAAGCCAGAAGCATATTTTATTCCTCATCCATGACTGTCCAGGGATGCTTAGGTCTCTTGCTTCCATCCTGTGAGTGTCAGGCAGATGCACCAGTCAAATCATGCCAAGAGATTAAGATACAAATGAGGGGAAATGGGACATTTTCTTGATTGTAAAGATTTCTCAGATTGAGCGGGTTTTATTTGTTCTGAATTGTATTCCCCAATTCCTCTTTGGGTTTATTTTCTTTTAGTCTGTTGCTCAAGTGATCCGTGATGAAGATTGCCCTTCGATGATCATTCCTAGCAGGCCTTGTGAGTAGTTATACTTTTTGCACATGTCTCAGCAGAGGATTGGTGTGTATGTTATTAAAGTGCAGCTCCACTCTGAAAGGAGATCCTGACGTTGTCATGATGGGGCTCTGCATTGACTGTCAGTGACGGCCAAATCAATGTTACACCATGTAAAAGTATAAAGATGTTTTTTTCAAACTTCCAACTGTGAAAACTCAATCTGGGATCAAGTCAAGCTGGGTTCTTTCTGCCTCATGAATCATCCCCAGTAAGGAGGACTCTGCAGACTAAATTACACCTTCAGAAGCATGAGGGCAAGCAACCCTATTGTCTTTGGTTAACGGCATAGTTGCAGTAAGGGCATAACATGGCCCTGTATTTGGAGTTTAGATGAGTCCAATTAGGATCTAACCTTCTATAGCTGTACAGGCTCTGCAGGGCTGAGAGGTAAAAAAGGAGCATTGTGTCTCTGAATACATACACTGGGTTCCAGTGCTAATCTCAGTTACAGAAGTGTTTAATTATTTAGCCATAATGGAACAGCTTCAAGAGGAGACTGAGAAAGCCCCACATCAGAATACTGCTTACCTGAGTAGTTAGAGCACTTTTCTGATCCCTCTTCAAATCCTTTCTTCACATCAGGCAGCTGTGGGAATTTAACCTGGGTCTCCCACATCCCAGGTGAGTGCTCTAACCTCTGGGCTAGAAGTCATGGCATGGGCAGCAATAGCAGCATCACCACCTGCTCCTCCTCTGGCCTGATCTGGTAGATGGCCTCTGAGCACACTGGGCCCCCAAGGTGAGATAGGTAGGGGAGTGCCTACCTTTACTGGATTGTGCTGGGGCTTAGGTGGGAGATAGGTGTCTGGACACCTACAGGGAGATGACAGTGCGCATGACCAGAGGCAGAAATTTAGACACAGAAGGACTTTTACAATGAAAATTTAGGAGCTAAGTGAGTGTAGGCTACAAGGTTAAGCAGCAGCCAAGTGGGGATTTTTTGGATTGCAGTGGTGCCTAAAACTGGGACATAGGCACCTAGGTCTGGGGTTTAGGTGACTGAATACCTTTATGGATCTGGACCTCACTACCGATCTGAAATGATTTACACACAGCTAAGCACGAATTTGATGGCCAAAAAACATAATTTTAAAGTGGAGTTTGATAATAAATAAATGTATGTTATTACCCACCTTTTGCATTACTTAACAGTTCTTAAAAGATGCTTTCCTGACTTCTCCACGAAGAATGGGATTCTGACAGTGGCAAATCAGACGACATTCAAAGATGGAAGAGGGAAAACAAGAAATGTAACTGATCTCAGGGAAGCTGCAAAGTAGGTTTTTCCTTCCTCTTGTGCTTTTCTTTTGTGTGATACCTTTTGTGTATGTTCCGGGTCAATAAATTAATGTATGGGTAGAAAAGAAATCACAATCAGTTATAGCAAATGACTGACATTAACCAACTGAGACATTGGCCTGGTCCACACTAACCCCCCACTTCGAACTAAGATACGCAACTTCAGCTACGTTAATAACATAGCTGAAGTCGAAGTACCTTAGTTCGAACTTACCGCGGGTCCAGACGCGGCAGGCAGGCTCCTCCGTCGACTCCGCATACTCCTCTCGCGAAGCAGGAGTACCGGCGTTGACGGCGAGCACTTCCGGGATCGATTTATCGCGTCTAGACAAGACGCGATAAATCGATCCCAGAAGATCAATTGCTTACCGCCGGACCCGGAGGTAAGTATAGACGTACCCATTGTAATGAAGTGACAGATCTGTACTTCAGTGCTTTTAAAATTCTATACCAGGAAACTAGCAAAGGATTTTTTTTGTAGAGTGCTTTTCCATTTAATTTGGAGGTGTGTTGTTTGTGACTGATTGTAAGCTTGGTTTTGTTATTTGATTAGTTCTCTCTGTGAAAGGTTAGCTTCACACAAAGCAACGAGTATAAATTCTAATGCTTCCGGGGACAAGTCACCCACTAAGGCTACCCCTGCCAACAGTTCTGGGAGCACATCTTCACTGACATCAATGGAGCTATGACAGTTTACACCAGCTCTCTGGTTTTGAATACCTGTCCCGAGGAGTGGGTATCCTAGCCAATGTTGTGGGACTGGTGGCATGTGGGAACCTCTCAAGCCACTCCAGATAAAAAAACTAGCATCTCCCATGCTGGGCCTGAGCCAGGAGGAGAGGGAACTGCTGGCCCAGAGTAGCTTCTCTAGCCTCCATCAAGTCCCCATTCAGACTGGGACCAGAGGGCATCCCTCCTTCCCTTCCCTTCCCTCAAACGTACCAATGCCCCCTCTCTTGCCTCACCAATGCTGACTCCAGACCCCACAATTTATCAAGCCCCCTACTCCAGCTGTCCCCAGCTATCATAAAGCCCTAGCTTTATTTCTTCCTAGCATTGTGCTAGGAAAATGTTTTAATGTTGGCAACTATTCTGGGGTTAGGAAAAAACCTCCCCTATGGGCAGGCTATTGTTTTACTGTTCGCTATGCAGGTTTTTTTTGTGGCTTTGGTACTGGTAATGTTAGAGCCATTATTTGTATGGATTCTGGGGGTTTATGGCAGATCTTACTACCAGCTGACTATATTTTTGTGACGTAATAAGTGATTGCGTCTTGTGATACTAATATTATTTAGAGTTTTTTATTATATTTTTTTTCCAGAGCTGGACAAGTGTTAACAGTTTGGGGGGCCTTTCACCCTCAGTGGAATTTCCTTGCCTTAATATTACTGTAACTGATGTTCATTTGTGCACAAAACCTGAGCTACAGCATTGTATTGTAACTTTATTAATGGCAATGACATTTCAAACTCTGTTTTGCTGAAAAACCAAATGCTACAAATAAAGGCATGTTCTAAAAATGCTTTGTGGCATAACTTATATTTTGTTAGTACATTAAGGACCTATTTGCTGCTTAAGTAAGATCTGTAGTATCCCATATAAACCAAACTTTTTTTCTGTTTTGTTTAAGTGGTATCAATAATGTCCTTGATGCAAGATCAGTTGGGATGAAAATTTTTGAAGACTATGCCAGTTCCTGGCATTGGATTTTAATGTAAGTTTATTTACAGATATTGCTGGCTCCCACACTTTGTATCTTCCCAGGTGTGAATGGAGAAGAAACTATTAATTTATGTGTATGTCTGACATCCTACTATTAAACTCCAAGAGTCTCCTCTTATCACATAGTTCTATCATGCACTTTTCATAGATCTTATACACGATGTGAGGCTAATCCAGTATCCTGCTATGTCATCCATAACTACAGCCTGACATCAGTCTGTGGTAGATCTACAAGAGATGTGGGCATCTTCCCACACACAACATTGATGTGGGTTCTTCTCTCTCTTCATGGCCCATCTGTTTTGTTATTCCAAACCCAAGAATCCTTATGTAAAAAAACAGTTTAGTTTGCTAAGCGACAGCAGGGTAGTTACCTGTCATGTCATTTACAAAACAAAGCAAATGAATAGTTAAGGCCATCATAAATCTTACACTGCTAACATAGTAGGTGAATGTATTGCATAAAAGAAATGCACAGTTTATCAACTCTTAATTTGCACCTGAAATAAATTCTTCCTGTTCTAATCTCGCAATATAAATTGAACACTAAAATGTTAAAGTAAAAAGATTGACTCTGAAGCTGAAAACTCAAGCACATGCTTAACCTTAAGCCAACAACAAGGAAGTCAATGGAACTACTCACAGCATGGAAGGTTAAACACGTGGGAGTCTTTGCAGGATTGGTGTCTATATAATGTGCATATTAATGACAACTTGTCAGGCTTGAATGCAGTACTATGGACAGATATTTGTGTTAAGAACTGTTATATACTTCTGATAACATACTACATATACTAGATTATTCTAAGAACAGCAATTACAAGTAGTTTCTACAGTCAGTTGATAAATATACTGATAAGTGTACTCATTTTTCAGAATGATCCATACTTCGGAAACTGTTGGATGAATTTTCTTTATACTTTGCCAAAACTTCCTTGTTTGGTTTCAGAATAGATCTCGCAGTTTTCAGACTGAACACATTTTCCAGCTATAGAAGGTGCCTTAAGGTATGTCTGCACAGTAGTTAAACACCTGTGGCTGGCCTGGGTCAGCTGACTCTGGTTGTGGGGCTATAAAATTGGGGTGTAGATGTTTGGGCTAGGTCCCAAGCTCTGGGACCCTCCTCCACCCCTGCATGGGGTCCCAGAGCTCAGGGTCCAGCCCGAGCCGAATATCTACACTGCAATTTTAAGCCCCGCAGCCCAAGTCATGAGCCTGAGTCAGCTGACCTGGGCCAGCCATGGATGTGTAATTGCTATGTAGACATACTCTAAGCTTCTTTCTACACTGCCCCAACCAATAGAGGGCAACTTCCTCACATACTCATAGTGCTTGATTCTGCTCCTGCTGACGCCAATGGCAAGAAACCCCCACTGATGTCAGTAGGGGCAGGATTGGGTCCATAACTCCCACTGAAATAAATGGGAGCAAGATTGGGTACAAAATTATCCACACCTAAAATCATGAATTTATTTTCTACATCAATAGCTGGGCCATGAGTTTACAAGGAGACTTAACTATACAGAAAATTTAGAGCTAGAGGGAGACAAAGTAACGTTACGCAAAAGTCAAAGTTTCTAATATGGTCATTTTTCAGAATGATCTGTACTGTTGAAACTATTGGATGGATTTTCTTCGTACTTTATCAAAACTTCCTCCTTCGTTTTCAGAGTAAGTCTGGTAGTTTCCAAACAGAATGCAGTTTCCAGGCCAAAGTTATGGGTATGATACTGTAGGGTTTTATAGTGGAAGCCAGTTGGTTACAACCTTAACTATGGAGAGACTCCTGCCTTTCCACAATACCCAGGAAGATCTGCAGCTTTCAGTTCTCAGACCCCAAAGCATGTCTATTCACAGCAGCTCTGAAGAATGTGATTCACTTCAGTACACATGCATGAGTACTAGTGAAGACAGTGAAACTAGTAAGCATGTACTTAGGTTAAGCATGTACTTAAGTGTTTTCCTGAATCAGGGCCCCAACCTCCAAATAGTCCAGCTGTTTTTGAGGAGGAAAGTTTTGAATGATGAACCATTCAGTGAGAAAGCAGGAGATGTCCTTGAATGAATTTTGGAAAGGGAGTAACCACACAGGGCAGAGAGGAGATTTATGAATGTCTTGTGCAGGTTATGGTGAAGAGATCTCCCAAGCAAGCTGTGGCTCTTTCTTTTTCACTGTCTGCTGCACAGTTGTAAGGTTTACAAGCCCAAAGAGATGTCTTACCCATCACAGTCATGTGGTCCTGAGTCTGATCAGTCTCACCTCTTTGATAACCAGCTAGGTAAGGGGGACATTTTAGAGAGCGATCACTAAACAAACTCTAAATTAATGGTTATGGATTTTGTATTTCAGTGGGTATGTCTTCAAAGTCCAGGGTTCATAATCATTTATTTTGTTTTGGACCTCTGCTAACATCATCAAGAAAAGAAATATTTTAGTGGTGTGTCCCACTTGACTGTGTGTTGGGATTTTATCTGAGAGGAGTCTGGCTGTTATCTCCTATGGCTGTACACTCAGATACCTGTGTGTGTGTGTAAAGAGTTTACACAGCCATCCTTGTTGTTTTTTTCTTTGTGACTTGCATGCTGGGAATGAAACCAGAATTCACACTGCCTTACCACTGATTTGAGTAGACTAAAGGAAGACACTCACTGGGTAGCTGTTTTTTCCCCAATTGCACTGCTGGTAGGTCATTGCCAATGTCAGCTTTTCTCTCTTTCTTTTTAATGCACGTTTTCTTCCCAACTCCGATGCACTGCACATGACTTGTTTGGAAGGATAGAAAGGAAAGTGTTTTATTCTCAAATTCAAAGTTCCTATCTACTTTTTAAAATAATGTTCTTATTTAAGAACCAAAATTGAACTAACCACACATGTACACCTCCTTCCAGTTTGACACTTCTCTACCCTTGCCTAGCCACGGCCTGAAGACATCACTGTCTCAGAACCTCAGCTGGTGTAAATCAGCACAGTCACAGCAATGAAGCTATACCAGTTTACACCAGCTAAGGAGCTGGCCCATCATTTATAAATGTGGCTATGAAATGCAATCAGACTGCCTAGAAACTTATCGCCCAACAGACTGGTTTCCAGTAGTTGATGGTATCCAAACTTTAAAACACTCACCACTCATTAGACTTTCAAAAGGAGGTTTGGAATAAAATTTTAGACCTGTCATTCTGTATTGTGTGAAAGAGTGGCCCTCCTTTTGCAGTAAATAGAATGCGCAAGGAGGAGGGATGCTCATGCCTGTTTCCCTTATATTCATGTCGCCTCCTGTCTTTCCAGTGGTCTGTTCATTGCAATGGTTGTGAGCCTGCTCTTCCTTGTGCTCCTGAGGTTCACAGCGGGGGTCCTCTTCTGGATTTTCATCCTTGGCGTGATTGGAATTATAGGATATGGTAGGTGTTAGCTCCTACACTCTCTAATGAGGAACTGCAGAGAGATTTTGTTCTTACTGCTGATGTTTGTACAAGGAAATCTGTAATAATCAGGTGAAATATTGCATAGGTTTGACAGGGTATTGAGGGTTTTTTTCTTTAAAGAAACTTATACTATGGCCTCGATCTTGCAAACGTTTACCACCACGTGTACACCCACATGTAAGCACTTGCAGGATTAGGCCTTCTGTATTTGCACCATGATTTCTTTTTTGTTCGTGTAGGTTTATAAGCCAGTAGTCTTATGATCACCTGTAGTTTTTACCTGTATGGCATGTTGAAGGCAAAAAAACCAAAGGCTCATTCATGTTTACAGACTCTTCAGAAACACTCAGCTCTTACTGGTTTGTTTTTCCAAAGGTATCTGGCATTGTTACTGGGAGTATGATCATCTTCAGGGGACACCTGGATCTGACCTCACGATCTATGATATTGGCTTCCAGACTGACTTCAGAGTATACCTGCAGCTGAGGCAAACATGGTTAGCATTTAGTAAGTGCCTTTTAAAATTAGTCTCTGTTAATGCTTAACCAGGAGAACGAATCATCAGCTGGTTGGTGCAACCTATGAAGTACCCCCTGTTACAGATGCTGAACAAATATCTTCCTTTAGATAAGTTTCTGGGATCTCAGTGCAGTGAAGGTTTTTATTATATTGTGCAGTTTTCAGGATTACTAGTTTATCTGGCCTAGAATTTGGTCCATTCACATTACTAACAAATGTGGAAAACATGCACAACTGGTAGAACACCACTCTTATTGAGCTGGGTTTAGCAGGCCAATGCTCAAACCACTGAGCTATCCCTCCCCCCCCCCCCCTTGGTGGTGGTGAGGGAGAAGGGTTTGACTTGATTAGCAGAGAGCAAGACCCTTCCTGGGGTCCTGGCCAGGTTGCAGGGGAGAGGGGATTTGCCTTTCCCTATCCATCCATGTACCATTCCTTCTGTATGGGCACCACATGCAGTGTGAAGGGAGGAAGGGATAGGGTGTTAGATGGGGACCGAATGGGGCATTGTCTGCATGACTGGCCAGTTCAGGAGAGGTGGCTGACCATGATTGGTCAGCTGCACTCCACCCCCACTGGCAACTGCCCAAGCAACACCCACTCTTTGGGAGTTATTGGGGCCTAAGGTTTGTAGAACTGGGTCTCCTGCATGCTGTGGGCCTAGCCAGATCAGCCCTCATGGGAAATAATTTTTCCTCTGGATAAAATTGGGTGACCCAAAAAAGATGGGGTTTTTTTTAACTTCCTCACAGCATGCGGGAGGCCTGGTTTGGTGGGCACAGCATTTATGGTGTTGCAGCTTTGTGGTCAGTGTCAAGCGTGAGGTATCTCCGGGGGTAAACATAAGCACAGGACTCGAGCATCTGCTGGCCAAACTAGGGGAGGTCTCTTAGGTCTAGTGCAGATTGAGGCATTTCCCATCTCTGCTCTCATGCCTTTGAGCCAGGGGGATGATAGGAGATCTCATCAACTGACTGGATACCAGGGATGATTTAGGCACTGTCTCCCTTACCTCCCTGACTCCAGGTTTTGTGGTTTTGGCATAAGGCTATGTCCTCCCACATTGGACTCTTGCTTTGCCTGCTAGGGCTTGGGGTACCATTGACCCCATTGTTAAGATGATTTAACAAAGCTGTAGTCTGCTGCACAAAATCTATGTGCTGTGTCTCTGTTTACCTGCATGTCTGGGACAGTGAACTAATGGGGGCCACTCACCACATGTTGCTGAGTGAATCTCTTTAAAGTAATGCCCCTAAAGAATATTAGTGTTGTACCATGTGTCCCTATTCTCTCCTTGTATCTCGCTGAGATGCTGGCTTGCCCTGTATAAAACTGGGCCATTGACTTCAATGGAATTACTTCTGCATGACACCAGTGTAATGGAGATCAGAATCAAGCTCTCTTAATTAAAAGGCTGAATGTCCATCTATGTTTTATTCTTTTTCCTATGTCCAGAGACTACAAATTAGCAGCAATATAGTCTAATCATTGAAAAATGCTTGTTTCTGAATAACCCAAAGTTTACTTTCATGGAGTGCATTAAGGATAAAAGATATTTTATGCTAAGTGCTACAGACATATGTTTTTAAATAGATGACTATATTTGTGAACTGTCTGACATTGCAATGCTCCACTTTCCTTTGTAAATTACAAACACTAATGTCATCTGTCAAGGCTAGCAGCTTCTGTGGGATTTCTCAAGAATGTATTAAATGGGGATTGAAAGTCAGCCTTTGCAGTCACAGAGAGAGCAAGCATGTTCTAGCATAGGGTTTCTTGGCATTCATGACCAGGATTGTAAAGTACAAGGTGGAAACCACCAATGTAGAAAGGCAGCGTGTTGGTTTGATTTTTGAGGAGTTTAATTTTCGTGCTTGCAGTGATAATACTTTGTATTGTGGAAGTCTTCATCATACTGATGCTGATCTTCCTGAGGAATCGGATCCGGATTGCTATTGCACTCTTGCAGGAAGGGAGTAGGTATGTTTCTCTGATTTATTGATTTTTAAAAAAAATTGTAATACCCTCCTTGTAATACTCTGTTGGGACTTAATCCTGCACTGCCAGGGGCAGAATACGGTGGATAGAAGCACAAGGGGAAAAGTGCTAAACAGTCCAGGGAGTGCAGGGGAGCCTGATCCTGCCTGAATGAGAGTGTGGCTTTATGGCTGCTAGGTTACTCCTGCCTAGTAGCAGTAGGAGGGGCTCATAGGAGAACATGTAGCTAGGCATATCATTTGCATGCTGAGGGAGTGCACTTAAGCCTTTATATCCTCAGACATACCTATTCTCTGCCCCCACATCTTCCCATTTTAAGGTAGCAGACGTACAAAGGTCTTCAAACATACATTCATTCAGCACAGAGGACTATATCTAGCGCTGAATCTTGCTTGTGCCAACGTGGAGCTTCCTTTCATACTTGCAAAGGGAGCATAAAAATCTTGTGTGGCCAGCTGTGCACCAGACAAGGGCTTGTAGGATCAAGACCTTGGCATCCATCATAAATAGGTTCAAGTCTCATTGACAACTAGCAGTAGGATTTTCAAAAGTGTTGCAGTGACTTAGGAGCCCAGTCCTGTTGATTGAGGCACTTTTGAAAATCCCACACTCAAAAGCCTTCTGAAAATTTGATTATGCAGAGAAAGTACCATTTGAGAGTTAATATCTTTTAAATGTCTCCTTTAAACATTGGCATGGTTACTGTGAGGGGTTTAACTGTATTTTTTAGAGTGAGGTGTGTGTGCGGGGGAGCTTGATATAATCCATTTGGAAGGCTTAGATCCACCCTGCAATTTAACTGACTGTCATATAGTGAAAAAAGTAACTAACAAGGGTCAAATTTTGCCTTCAGATCCCAGTGTGTTATACGCATTGATTTCAGTTATTGCTCAGATGAATTAGTGCCAGCGATGACATGATGTGCAGTAATAGAGTAGTTAACACTTCTTCCTGTTAACAGTCTCACAAGCAGTTTCCAGGTAGCAATTTATAACTTCCCTGCATATACTTGGTCCTTCTAGTAAACACAGTGCATCAAATTCTCTCTGTTGCACCAATGCAACCCAATTGACTTCGATGGAGTTGTGCCAGTGTAAATGAGGACAGATTTTTGGGTCAAGTGGTAGGCTACACATGTGTACCCAAAACCAGAATTTAGTATAGAGAGCTAGTAGGTGGTTGGTAGTCACGGTGCTATCAAATTCATCAGAGCAGTGCCGAATCTGAATCTGAATTGTGACCTCTTCCCTTCCCTGATTTTTCTTTTACAGTCCTGGGCATCCCAGTGCCTGTAGTATCAGGACTTAGGGAGTCTTTTGTGGAATTAGGGAAAGCTGAAGTTCCATAATCAGTCTACTTATTCCCCTTTCTACAGCTATGCATGCAGGAAATAGCAGTCAGTTTTGGCAGCACTACACTTTATCCTTTGGATCCTGTTCATTATAATTCAGAAACATTTTACACACTAAGACACTTTTATTCAAAAATGTGACAGATAGAAACACTTCAGAAATTTCATAAACTTCCTGCTGGGAGGTAATAACATCCTCTAGTTTTTTTAGCTACACTGAAAGGTCACGTGAGGGCAGTACTTTTACACTCATGTATAACGCCTGAGGTGAAACACTGTAAGTAATTACTGTACACCTAACAGACCATGCCCTGTATTCAGGATGATGGGAAATAAGTTGCTAATGACTGGGAATCAAATTATTTTTTTCAGTACAGTTTAACTATTCTTTCAGTAAAATTACAATTTATAATAGTAATAAGCTGTTTGGAATCCATTGATAGAATCGTTAACAAGCAGTTTGTTAGAATAAACTGTCTGTGGCTTCACTGTTAACTAACAAGCCTATCATTAACTGCTGGAAACTACTGATTTGTGATTATTTCTTAAATAGCATAAAATCGTGCACGTCTGTATGACTCATAATGCGCTTATTGTGCCTGTAGATCCAGGTATGATTTGGCAATAAGAAAACACTACTAGAATGTTGCCATTGACCTTGTTATCGCACAAGACAGATTAATTTATCCCCAGGGTCTTCTTATTTAACAGCAGGAGTGGAGTAAATTTGTCTTCCATTTGCTTTCTGGGAACTGGCTCCTGGAAGGCAGCTGGCAGCAGGAGTGAACAAGTCAGGGGAGAAGCACAATGGGGGAAGGAAAGGCAGAGGGAGAAGGGAGGGTGGAATGGTCAGAGGTTCGCGTCAGGGGGCTGTGGAAGGAGAGGTTCAGAAGGAATGGGATGAGGTGGATTGGGGGAATGTAAAGGAAAATGGGAGAGCAGTGTAATCAATCCACATGCTTTAGACAACAGGCACACTTTCTATAAGTCACATGCAGTGAGCTGCCTGTACAATTATTTCCTATCCCATCACCACAGTATCTAAGAACTAACCATCCTCATTATTCCCCTGTGAGATAAGTGCAGTCATTTTCTAGAGAGGCACTGATGGCTTAAGTAATGTATTTAATGCCACAGAGGGAATCCTTGTCAGAGCAGGGATTAGAACGCTCAAGTTCCTAGTTACCTGTGTCCACGCTCTGACCACACCTTTTATTCATTGGGACTAGTGTCTGGTTTGTCAGCTACTAAAGCATAGGCCTCTGTCTCTTGAACTAAAGAAGAGCTTCCTTAGCTAGTAGCAGTAGAAAGCCCTTTATCCTTTCTGTGGGCCAGCAAATTTAGGCAACATCACATATACACACACACACACTCTTACACAGAAAAATTATAAATACATTACAGTAGTGAGGTAGCAAAATGGACTGTGACTCAAGAGAAAAGTAGAATGTCAAGGGTCCAGAGCATGCAGTGCTCAGTAGAGCAGAAGGTCCCCTAGCAGTCTGGATCTGTGAACACTAGGAGGAAGGCAGGAGGGGGGATGTACAGGGGCCCAGGGGAAAGAGCAGGTCTAGGAGTTGAGTAGTTTGGGAACATGGAGAAGACAGGCAGTGGGAGGGGCAGTGTCTGAGGCAGACAGCAGTTGGAGGGATGTGGGAGCAGAATGGGTTTATGACCCGGGATTGAAGGACGGTAGCAGGGATAGGATCAGGGAGGGCAAAATCAGTGGAAAGAAGGGGACTGGGAACAGAATATAGCAGAGATTTGAGGAGGGCAGCCAGATGAAGGAGCGGGAGGAGAAGAGACAAAATGAGACAGTGACAGAAGTGAGGCAGTAAGGAGATGGTACTGGCAGTGCTCTGGGATCCCAGCACTAGGTGACCCCACCAGTATCAGTGAAGAGAGAAGTAAAAGGGCTAATGCTAAAGGGCTAATAAAAAGTAATTTTTTGTTTTATCATCATTCTAGATTTCAACCTTATTTTGTTTCCTTTGTAGGGCTATTGGCTACATAATGTCCACATTATTCTACCCCATTATCACCTTCATTCTCATTGCAATCTGTATTTCCTATTGGGCAGTGACAGCTGTGTATCCTTCTATATGTCTGAGTATTTGTACCTCATTATCGCGGTAGTATCTGAATAGCTCACCAAATAACTCTGTAAATGCTCACATCGGCCTTCATTCTCAACGAGCAGTACATTGGAGGTAGAGGCAAAATCCTTACATAATTGTTTGTTTCCACTAAGGTTCTTCTCTTGATAGCTGATATGGGATGAAGCCACTGTAGAAACCCTCACTTTGCAGTATTGAAATCCCTTTGTGCTTTCTTAGGAGACTCTGAAGAAGACTAACACCAACAGATGGTATTTTTCACAAACATCATCACCTGGAGACATACTTCACACCCACCCTATGTGCCCTACTGTTTACACAAGGAATAAATAAATGCACTTTTCTTCTGCCCTGCTTCTCCCAAAGTGGCTGGTGTGGCTGTGCGGGGTGAGATGCAGAATTGGGACGGCAGTGATGTTCACACACGTGACGTGTTAGTGTGTTTGTAGATCCAGTGGACAATACAGTGGGAAATGTCCTACACCTGGATGTGTTGTATCTCTTTCCCTCTCATATCTTATCAAGTGGGTGCCTGAGGTGCTGTACGTAGCTCCTGTCTCATTGAGCTGTTCTGTTCCATCATGCTGGCTGAGACTGTATTATAACACCTTCAGAGAATCATAGACGTTAGAGCAAGCTGTTAGGTCACCTAGTCCATCTCCCCACCAATAAAGGATTCTGTACACTGGGTTATGGTATACAAGCAGGACATTATATTTTATTTAAAAAATAACAGTCTCAGGGAGGAATTCCCCCCAGTGGGCTCAAACAAGGCCCTGTGCACTATTTAAGTCCTTAATATGGGTCTTAAATGGTACATAGGGCTTTGGGTGAGCCCACTGCACGGGGTTTATTCACCCATGGAGCGTATGGCCTGCACAAGACTTCACGTTCCTTAGCCCTGCATTCATTGTTTCTTAGTTAATTGGGGAGCTCTTATTTGCTCCTTTGCCATGTTTTTCACTGGCAGCTGCTCAGCCTGTTCTGCTCCCCACCCGGCACAACCACCACCAACCTCTCTGTAAAACTGCCTGCTACACAGAGGTTTGCCAAGCAGCAGAGGGAGGAGTCAGGAAGCCTTCACTGGGTGAAGAAGAGTCTGTTATTTCTGCTCTGAGCAGTATTAACTCATCCTCTCTGTTCCCCACTGCAGCAGTCACCGAGCACGGGAGCTGGCCAAGAGCTGCTGGCAGTAGGGTCACCGACTAGTGCATGCTGCCATAGTGATGCGCGCAGAGGGGACTAAGAGCAATGTGGAGGTAGCTCCTTCCCTGAGTCTGGGACTTGTGCAGACTTCAGGGCAGGGTTTTCCACAGTTCTCTAGCTTATGAGGAAAATTTAGATGTTACTTGTTAGCCCTTCTGCTTATATGCTGGCCACATGCATAGGAAGAGGTGGTGCTCTAAAACTGAATCTCTCTCCAACCCACACAAGTTTCAGGGTTAGTGATCCCCTACTATATTGTTTAATGTGTGATGGAATTTAGGGACCTGTGATTCTGTGAGTTCCTCCTTAATACAATTCACTCAGTTTCCTGTCTACATCAGGGGAACCTGTGTATAAAGTAATGGCTAATCAAACACTGTGCAAGTATGCAAACCTGACCTGTGACCCAGAGGTAAGCATAACTAATAACTGCCTATGAAGGGGGAAAAGAGGGGGCATGCTAATTATATTAATTTATTGACATTCAAGATATGTGCAGTGCTTGTTTAAAGACCATGCATAGTTGTATTCCACTCATTCTTTGTTGTGTTAGGTCACATAATACTTGTTCAAAGCACTTTACAAGCACCAGGTAATTAATTCTCACAGCACCCCAGTGCGGAGGATAAGTATGAATATCCCTGTTCTACAGGTGAGAAAACTGAGACACAGAGGTAAAGGCTTAAATTTTCAGAAGTGTCCACTCATTTTTGGTGCTTCAATTTTTGGATGCTCAGTTTAAGAGATACCAAAAGGCATCCACAATCAGTGGCCAGTTTTCAAAATTTGGGACTTAGAGACTTTTCCAAGGCTGCTGAGCAAGTTAATGGCAGAAACCCAACTGGGTACCACATCTCTCAGCTTGCAGTCATATGCTCTTGCTACTAGACAATACTGCCTATCATAGCAATGAGGATAAATTAAGAACATTTACAAAACGCTTAGCAAATCTTTTGGCATTTATTGGGAGCAGTTAGGTCACGTTGGGCTCTAACTTTGTTTTGGGAGTTCTTCAAACACAAAAAACCGTTTATGAAGCCTAACATCAGTAGAAATGTTTCCAGATATTTTAAATGCCAATGGAAACAGCTTGTTTTAAGTAATAGATAGCATTCCCGTGAAATGCATGCCTCCCAAACACTACAGCACTCTGCTGATGTCTGTGAACCAAAGGAGAAAGAGATTCAAGTCTGACCATTCTGTTTTCATTGTCCAAGCTGGGCAAATGGACAGAGTAAACAGCACAAATAGAGAAAAGTAAATTCAATTCTAAATTTTTTTATTGTTATTATAATCTAAGGGGAGACAGATAAGAAATTCTGTGACCGGATCCTCAGCTGGTGTAAAAAGTCATAGCTCCATTAACTTCTCTTGAGCTAGTGATTTAAACAAATTGAGGATCTGGCCATGAGTTTTAAATAAATATGACTAGCTGCTCTGTAAGGAAACTGAACAAGTTGTGTATCAGGAGAGGGGATTTGTGTAATTCAGATTCTGAATTGTTAAGCCCCAGTCATGTAAAGACTTGTGTATGTGCTCACATTTATCCATAGTGAACGGCCCATTCACTAATCACAGAGCATTAAGTCTTTTTTAGTATTGGGTTTTTAATAAAGACCTACTTGAATCATGGAATGATTGTCAAATAATTGCAGCTGAGTTGCAGACCAGACATGGAAAATCGTGGAAAAGTAATAATGGACCTTTATTAATTGTGGTAATTTGGAAAAGCCAGAGAAGATCTATTTGTTTAAGAAATTTTTGCTGGAACAATATAAACACTCAAGTATTATGTTATATCTGCTAATTTTTTTGATAACTGGACATTTTGCTGCAACTATATGACAGTCATTAATGCGCGGGGCTAACAGTGGTGCTGTCAGCCCCGGGCTGCTAACGAAATTGCGGTGAAAGCCTAATATTGTGGGATCTGCAATTTCCCCAATATCACAAATTAAGTAGGGCTTAGTTTTGAATTATTTAAATGAATTAAAAAACATTTACATTGAAGTTAGACTTCCACTTGTAGCAGGATTGAATGAGTTAGTGAAACATCTAGCAGAATATGAGATTTTTTGTGCTCAGCCATTTAATTTCAGAAATTGTCCTGACACATCCTGTTCATTGCTTATGATTATTTTTGTTGTTTTTCTTTCTAAACAGACTTTTAACACAACCAATGTGACCAAATTATGTGTTGGTGCTCAGTGTACTTTTGCTTTCTATGGGGGAGAAAGCTTCTATCACAAATACATCTTCATCTTTCAACTCTCCAATGCTTTTGTCTTTCTGTGGCTGGTAAACTTTGCAATTGCACTGGGTCAGTGTACCCTTGCTGGTGCCTTTGCCTCTTACTACTGGGCCTTTAGAAAACCTGCTGATATTCCAACGTGCCCACTCTTTTCTTCATTTGGACGAGCAATACGGTAAGGATAAGAATCTGGAGTTTAATCTCTTTGTGTTTCCTAGCGCTGCTCATAACTCATAAGGAAACAATTTCATTATGCTTAGACTATCAAAGGAAAACAATTATGTAGAAAAGCTTAGTCATTAAGGGCTCAATCATCCTAGTCATTATGGACCTGCATTTTGCTTTTGACTTCAGTGTGAGGAGCAGATCCAAATTCATTAAGTTCCTGAATTTCAAAAGAGTAGAAGCTCTGAGAAATTGCATGCCTAACTTATACAAGCAATTCCTGCACCTGCATATGCAAATCTGTTATAGCAACCCTCTAATGGCTGTTAGACACCTAAAAAATACAAATGATCTTGCTGCAAACACAATAGCGATGTGTGGATGTATACATTTTTGTGCATGGGTCTGGACTTTTTGTTTTATTGAAAAATCAGGAGCATATTGACCTATTGTGTAATTATTAAAAGCACTGTACAGTTTAAATTTAAACCCAATATTTAAATTTGTACATTTAAATTATATCAGTAATAATCTTAAGTTAAAATTAGCAAAGGAAATCACATTATGGATATAAACATTTTTACTACAACACAATTTATAGGCCTTTTGTAATTGTAGTATCTCTTATTCATGTTGTATCTAGCAGGGCAAATTGTTCAGCTAACACTAGGGTTATTCAGAAGCATTTAGTAGAGGCAACATTTCACAATCTTTCGTCAGCATCCAAGTTCTTAGCAAATTTTGCATTGTTAATCTTTTTCAAAAGACTGTTTGCAGATTTCACAGTCCATAAGATAGTTTTTTGTGATATTTGCGAAGGTCAGTTCAGTTACGTATTGCTGTTGTCTCCTGTAACATGGTAAAATACCTCTTTGTTTTGTATTAGATATCACACAGGTTCACTAGCATTTGGATCATTAATTCTTGCAATAGTCCAGTTGATTAGAATAATCTTGGAGTACCTGGATCACAAGCTGAAAGGTGAGATTTCTGAACTTGCTGTAGAATATTAAGAATTCATCTTGTTTTCCTTCCTTTTCCAAGATGGTTCTTCAGCTATAAAACATCTAAGAGGCAAATCCTGGGCTGGTATAAATCACTGTAGTGCCATTTGAAGTCAATGAATCTATGCTGATTTACCCCAGCTGAGTGTTTGTCCTTGAAAGTTTAATATAAGAATTTATGTAGGAGATGGATATGAAATAATGTAGGGCTAGTGGCCTAGATTCACTCTGGAAGGGAGAAAATTGCAACTCCTTGCTCCAGTGATGGGACAGGATTCTATCTTGGGGGAGAGCTGGCAACATTTCAACTACTGACCTATCTCCGGGGATCCAGCCATTGTGGGCAGCCTCTCCATATTTTAAAGACCACTCATCATGTGTCTGCATGTTCTGCTCTCCCTCCTTTTCTGCAGGTACACAGAACTCCTTTACGAGATTTCTGCTCTGTTGCCTCAAATGCTGTTTTTGGTGTTTGGAAAAATTCATAAAGTTCATAAACAGAAATGCCTACATCATGGTGCGTATTTTCTCTCTCAGCATGTTCTAGCATCATGCCTGGGGCACTACAATCAGTATCTTAGATATAAACCTCAAGGCATAGGTGTCGACTACGTGGGTGTTCCGGGGTTGGAGCACCCACGGGGAAAAATTAGCACCCACCGGCAGCCAAGCTCCCCGCCCCACCTCACCTCCTCCTCCACTTCCACCTCCTCCCCTGAGCATGCCGCGTTCCCGCTCCTCCGCCTATCTCCCGTTGTCAAACAGCTGTTTGGCAGTACTTAGGACTTTCCAGGAGGGAGGGGGGAGGAGCAGGGATGAGGCACACTCAGGGGAGGAGGTGGAGAAGAGGCAGGCAGGGGCAGGGACTTGGGGGAAGGGGGTTGTGACGATGCGGTTCTGGCGGGACCCAACTGAGAGTGCCAACTCAGGACAAATTGCTCAAATAGGGCAGTTACAGCCCAAGGCTGGGGTTTTTTCCACCTCTAAGGCAAACCAAACCAGCCAGACTAGGAGGACTTCGGTCTCACCCCACTGGCTAACCGCAAGTCTCACAAGCAATCTCCTTAGACACACCAGTTTCCCAGTATTACCACCAGTGCCACTCGTTATGGGGACAAATGGTTATGGAAACCAATACCCCAGTAAAAGAAAAAGGTTCTCCTGATCCCAAAGGACCAAGCCCCAGACCCAGGTCAATATACAAATCAGATCTTACCCACAAATCACGCTGTTGCCAATCCTTTAGAATCTAAAATCTAAAGGTTTATCGATAAAAGGAAAAAGATAGAGATGAGAGTTAGAATTGGTTAAATGGAATCAATTACATACAGTAATGGCAAAGTTCTTGGTTCAGGCTTGCAGCAGTGATAGAATAAACTGCAGGTTCAAATCAAGTCTCTGGAATACATCCCCCGCTGGGATGGGTCCTCAGTCCTTTGTTCAAAGCTTCAGCTTGTAGCAAAGTTCCTCCAGAGGTAAGAAGCAGGATTGAAGACAAAATGGAGATGAGGCATCAGCCTTATATAGTCTTTTCCAGGTGTAAGAACACCTCTTTGTTCTCACTGTGGAAAATTACAGCAAAATGGAGCCTGGAGTCACATGGGCCAGTCCCTGCATACTTTGCTGAGTCTGAAGGCATATTTGCCTTCTCTCAATGAGTCCATTGTATAGCTGATGGTCCTTAATGGGCCATCAAGCAGGCTAGGCAGAGCTAATCCCAGCTTGTCTGGGATGTCACCCAGAAGCATAGCATAAGTTTGTCATACAGACAGTATAGAGCCAATATTCATAACTTCAACTACAAAATTGATACACACATATAGACAGCCTAATCATAACCAGTAAACCATAACCTTGTCTAAGACACCCCATTTGACCCCCTTTATACAAGATTTGGGTGCCACTACAGGACCTTGGTTGCAACAATGATCTATATGGTCCCAGATTATATCAATAACGTCACAGAGGTGGAATGGGGGCGGGAAGGAAGCAGGGACTTTGGGGAAGGGGTGGAATGGGGGTGGGCCGAGGGTGGTGCAGGGGCGGGGGTGGGGTCGAGCACCCACCGGGAACAGTGGGAGTCGGTGCCTATGCCTTAAGATATGCCTACACTGCACACCAGTGGCGGGGATATGTAGGGTACATGTAGCTACATGCTGCCGTGACAAGTAGGCTGTTTCCACACTTATGTATAGCTACATGAAGCAGCGAAAGGCTCTGGCAGCTCCCGGATGCCAGAGTCTTTCCCTGTTGCTGGAGCCTTTCACTGCAGTAGGGAAAGTCTTCAGCAGCAGGGAGGCAGCAGGACACTACACTGCTAAAAACAGCCTAAACTGTGGCTCGCCATCTAAACTGCTGTTTATACCTGTGCTAGGGGGGCGTGCAGTGTCTGTACTCCTACAAGCCTCCATAAGGAGCGTGCAGTATAGATGTATCTGCAGTCATCAAAACGTTAATGTTTTGCTTTTTAGCTATGCCAGGCTTTACTTTGGCTACAGTCTGTCACTGTTTGACTCTAGAAGGTAAAGAATTGGATTTTAGTGACTTTGGGGGAATTCATATGTCCCTGCCCCCCCAAATGATAGTATCCTTTTTCCCCTCCCCCATCCCTCTTCCCCCCCTACCAGTACCCATCAGAAGTGGAGATACAGTATGACTGGTTAACATTCCCCCCCACCTGCAATTCAAACACTGATTTCAATAGGAATGTCACCACCTCCTGCAAACACTGTATACTACATACCGACGTGATGTTTTTGTTAAAATGTGCTGCTGTGAATAAGGAAGCTACAGAACACTCAGCACTTGTACTCGCCAGTAAAATCATAGAGCCGAATTCTGCTCTCAGTTCCAGTGGTGTAATTCCAGAGGAGCTGCATTGGTTTCAGGGGAGAGATTCCAGATTTACCCCGTTGTAAATAAGAGCAGAATTCACCTGTGTTGTCTTGTTTTGACCTGAAACAATTTCAGTAAAAGTGTTTTGCAGTCTAAGAGCTGTTATCTCCGAGGAAGTGACTCTAATGCTTTCATTAAAACCCCATTTGCTCCAAAGGGATCTCAGAATTAGTGCAGTCTTCAGGGTAGGAAATTGTTCTTTCTACAGCCTTATCTGCATGGGGAAAATTGACCAGCATAACTATTGTGGTATAATTTAACTATTCCAGAATATCTCCCCCACGTGGAGACACTGTTCTGGAAAGAAAGTGAATTTACTAAACTGCGTGAGCTGGGAAATTACTCTGGAATAAAGTCACTTTTATTCGAGTCTCCGCTCAGGCAGCTATTCTACAACAGCTAGTACAGAATAGCTTATTCTGCAGTAGCTATGCCAGTCAATTTTCCAACATAGACAAAGTCTTGACTTTTGTGGGGGGGTTTTTAAGCATTTAATAACCTATATTAAAATAATACTGAGGTTGTCCAGGAAAAGCAAGGCATGTCCCTATTAAAGCTGTTGCCCTTTGGATACACTGTGCATTTAGACATGCAAATATAAATCCAAATTAACTCAACTAAAGCTCATTAGAAGTAGCAGTGAGCAGAACCTGGTCCCTGATAATGCTTCAGTTTTGCAGAGCTCTGAACAAGTAGGGCCTGTTTTGATCTTGTTCCAATCTTACACTGATGTAACTCCATTGACTTCAGTGGAGTTACTCCTGATCTACTTTGGTGTGAGATCTGAATCATGTCCAGGGCATCCGATCTGTGTAATAAGCAGCCTTAAGGGAGGGGGGCCTGCCTTAGATGGATTTTGTTAGTTTGTGCCTCCACTAGCAAAAGGCCTGAGCTGCAGAGTTGAGATGTGGACTGAATTTCCCCAAAGGTCAGGGGCATTTGGAGCCTGGGTTTTGCTTCAGGTTCATCTGTAGCCTTAATCTTATTTTAAAGTGGCTTTTTTGCATTCAGTTATTGTGCCTAATCCCTGCACAAATCCCAATAGTGGCTTTAGGCTTGTTTGTGGATGGATAGACCACAACGCTTCTCCCTATATACCCCTCAACTTGCTATCCTCAATTCCTCAACTGTAGGCAAGCTGTGGCAGAGACTGTGTTCCCCAGCTGCTCTATTTGGAAACCTAAGTATTGTCTCCACCTCCTGCCTTTCCCTCCTGTAAGCAGGTCACCAGAGGCTGCAGAGCCCCACAAACAGATGATTTGGAGAGGTGGGTGGGCTGAGAGATATTCTGTGACAGTCTGGTGAGAAGTAACAGGAAGCAGGAAGTGTATTGTGGGACGGTTTATGGATATGTGGAGGTGGGTGGGTTTGGTCACAGGTGGGAAAGAACTATGTAGGGCCCTACATGGGTTCATTTGCATAGGGCCCCAGAAAACTTAGGGCTGTCCTTGATTAGCTATATAGTTAACAATCAACTGTTACTGTTTTGCAGATTGCGATATATGGTAAAAACTTCTGCACCTCAGCAAAGGAAGCGTTCTTTCTGCTAATGCGGAACGTGGTGAGGTAAGAGGCCGTGTTTCTTGTTGCTGCTATTACACTCTGAAAACTCACTTTTCCCCCTAGAAAATTGATTGTAACGGGTCCTGCCTTCACACATTGCCCTCCCTTTTAGCAGCTCCTCATGCATCTGGCAAGCCATAGAGCTAGTCAATAGCCTGAGCTAGGATGATTTTATTTAACCTGACAGACAGCTTTGCTGCGGGTTAATTGGTTGACATTGTAGGTGGCTAGGCATCCCTGGTAGCTGCAGCAGGGCTGTCAAGAAAGCAGTGGTGCCTACTGACAACATTTCTATTGATTTCTTACACACCTCATAAGGCACCCATCACCGTGGTATCCAGGTGTAGCTTGCAAGGGTTGAGGTTGGATTCACATTTTTTAATAAGAGGAACAGCTAGATCTAAGCCTCAAAATCCCTGGAAGGAAACTTGGGGAGGGGGCAAGGGAGAGGGAAGGGGGCTGGGAGGGTGACAAGGAGGGAGGGAATGTTTTTGCTTTTAAAACCAAAGTCTATAATAGGTATCTCTCCTGGTGTTGAACCCCAGCCCCCTCGCTCCATCGCTAGGGCTGCTGCTGAACTCGTTATGCTAATCAGCACTCCTCTTCCGTGCTCCTGGCTCTTCCTGTAATATCTGAAGATCAGAAAGAATGGGAGCAGGTTGCTGATTAGAACAAGCCCTTAGGAGGAGGCCATGTTGGAGCAATAGGAGGTAGCCTAATTACCAGCAAGAGGCACATTTAAGGAGGTTAGGTAGTTTAAATTATTCAGGAAAGGATAAGAGGACCTGGATGGTGAGGAGCAGGGAGGGAGAGACACTGAATGAGAAGAGAATGCGGACAAAGACTGGGGGAATGGAGTTTCTAGACAGAGGCAGGAGGAGAGGACTGAGCTGTATGTAAAGGTTCCAGGACTTCCTTGTGGGTGCAGCCATTCAGTTAAGCACCCCTGCCTATTGCATACCAGAGTTAGACAAAGAGCTGCACCTGAGGAGTCTCCACTCCTGTTATCAAGTGTAAATACCAGAACAATGTCACTTTCAGCTTGCAATCCCATGCCACGGGGTGCTGTAATGGTTCCTCGCTCTCCCATGGGGAGGGAGGCCACTCAGTCCAGTCCTGTCTGGCCAGAACCAGAATCCGCAGGACAGTGAAGAGCCCACAATAGGGCTGGGCAACCAACAGTCACAGTCAGACTTTAGCCTGGGTTTGGGCGGCTCATTCTGCCAGCCCTTAAACAGAGTCTACCTGAGCTGGGGCCTGGGCTTGAGGAGGCTCAGGCTGCCAGCAATAAAACAGGTTCAAGTCTGGCTTTAGCCTGGGCGGGGCTCAGGCAGCCAGCAAAGCAACAGTCTATAAGGGAGCTGGTAAGGGAAGCTCCTTCTTCAGAGCTGGAGCTTCCTTGCACAGTGTAGGGAGTCGGCCACCCCGGGGTGTGGTGGCAGGGGAATGCGGGCCCACCCTACTCCACCGCATCCCAGCCCAGGGCCCTGGCAAGGGCAGGGATGGCTGCCCCTGTGTCGGTGGGGATCCAGCCCCAACACGCCGACTGAGCCACCCCTGGCTCTGCAGCCAACTGTTCCATGGCTGCCCCTGGACCACTTCCTGCCTCCCCGGGGTTCGGTACCTGTGGCCTCCAGGCCTCTTCCGGCTCCTTGGGGTACACAGTGGCAGGCACTCCGGGCCAGTCCTCATTGGCATCTGGGGATCGGGAACAGCCAGGCGTAGGTTCCCCTCTGGGACACTGCAGAACAGGCGGAGCGTCCTTCTCCGCAGGCTCTGCCACAACTGTGCTGCAGGGCCTGCCTTTTATACTTCCGGCCACACCCCGGTACTTCTGGCGAGGGGGGCAGGGCGATCTAGGCTCTGCCCTCCAAGGGAAGTGTAATGGTCCCTCACTCTCCCGCTCGGAGGGAGGCCACTCGGCCTCACTACAGGCCCCCATAAAGCTAAGTTCAACTTCAGCCCTGGGTGTCGGGACTCAGGGCCCCGGAGTTCAGCCCCCATGTGGTGGGGCTTTGGCTTTGTTCCCTGGGCCCCAGCAAATCTAACACTGGCCCTGCTTGGTGGACCCCCTGAAACCTGCTTGGGGCCCCGGCCCCCAGGTTGAGAACCACTGTCTTACAGTACGTGTTAACTGTGTGTGCTAAACAATCTGTTGTATATAGCTGTGACACTCTGAGTACCTTTCCAAGAGCTCTGTGGGCCATGTCTGCATTACAAACTTTGGGCAATGCAAGTTACATCGGTATAAAGCTGCTGCAGATAGTATATCACTTCTGCGCGTGCGTATTTGGCTCCTTTTACAAGTGCTGCATGTACTCACCAGGGGTACTTGTATCGATGCATAATGCAATGCACCATGGGTAGGTATCCCAAATTGCAACCCACCACCATCCAGCACACTGTCTTTTGTGGAGATTAGGCAATGCAGGGTTGGGCAGACATAAGTCACATGGGTGATTGGGGCCAGGGGTCAAGTTCCCAGCGTGCCGCTGTCTCCATCCCATAATGTCACTTGTATCCCATAATTTTCTTGCCCCTTTTTAAAACTCCCACAAACTTGTGCAGCCGTCCTCTCTGTTCGCCATCTCTGACGGAAGCATGGAGCCTATACAGCTCTGCACTATTGTCATAAGCATTGCAAGCACAGGATGCACAATCCTCCAGCATTTGGAGAGCCATAAGAATAACCAAATCAGGGCAGAACAGGACAATTTCTTGGAGGACAGGTTGCTGTGAGACATAGCAAGAACCATTTCAGGGTTGTTGGTGGCATTCATGGAGGAGCTGCAGATGGTGGAGTGCCACTTCTGAGCTTGAGAAACTAGCACTGACGGTGTGATAGCATCGTAATGCAGGCTTGGGATGATGAGCAGTGGCTGCAGAACTTTTGGATGCACAAGGCCACATTCCTGGATCTGTGTGCTGAGCTCACCCCAGCACTCCAGCGCAGGAACATCAGAATGAAAGCTACGCTGACAGTGAAGAAGTGAGTGGCAATGGCACTGTGGACACTTGGAATGCTGGATTGCTACCGGTCAGTAGGAAATCATTTTAGAGTTGGCAAATGCATCGTGGGGGACATTGTCATGCAAGTGTGCAGGGCCATTAATTGTCTCCTCCTGGCAATATGCAGGACATAGTGGATGGATCTGCAGCAAAGGGGTTCCTGAACTGTAGTGGAGTGATAGATGGCATACATGTCCCTATTTTGGCACCAGACCACCTTGCCACAGAGTACATCAACAGAAAGGGCTGCTTTTCTATAGTTATGCAAGCATTGGTGGATCACCAGGAATGCTTCACTGACATCAGTGTGGGCTGATCAGGGAAGATGCATGACACTAGCATCTTTCAGAGCACAGGACTGTTCAGAAAGCTAGAAGCAGGGACTTTCTCTCCCGACCACCAGATTACGATTGGCAATGTTGAAATACTTGTAGTGATCCTGGGGTACCCAGCCTACCCCTTGCTCCCCTGGCTCACCTTGGTAGCACCAAGGAAAGATTCAACTACTGGCTCCGCAGGTGCAGAATGACAGTAGAATGCGCTTTTGGTAGATTGAAAGGATGCTGGCATTGTTTACTCATACTATTGTAGGGTTACCATATGTCCGGATTTCCCCGGACATGTCTGGCTTTTTGGTCCTCAAATCCCAGTCCGGGGGGAATTTCCAAAAAGCCGAACATGTCCAGGGAAAATAGGGAGGCATAAGCCAGGGTCCGCCCGGCCCCAGCATGACCTGCCGGGTGCGCAGTGCAGCCCAGCCGCCCCAGCTACATTGTAGCGAGCTCGGGCGGGGGGGCGCAGCTGCAGAAGGCAGCGGAGGGGCCGCTGCTGTCCCCGCAGGATGGGCAGACTGCGCGCCCCAGCTGAGCCCGCAGGACCACGGGGAGGCCGGGCCCAGACAGCGGCTCGGGCTTCCCTTGCGGGCGGGGACCCCCCGGCCACTGGGGGGGGCGCAGAGGCTGCAGGGGTGGGGGGGTGCAGGGGCTGCAGGGCGAGTGGGGAGCAGGGAAGCACTTAGCAACCCCCAACCAAGATCAGACCGGGAGGAAGGAGGGGGAATGTGGGGTGCTCAGAGGAGGGGGCAGAGTTGGGGAAGGGACTTTGGGGAAGGGGTTGGAATGGGGGCGGGGTTGGGGCGGGGGCGGGGGTGGGGAAGGGGCGGAGTTGGGGCAGGGCCAGGGCCCCCGTGGAGTGTCCTCTTTTTTCATGTTGAAATATGGTAACCCTATATTGAATCTCAGTGGAAAAAAACCCATCCCGGTGGTTATGCGGTCTCCTACATAATATCTGTGAAGAAAAGTGGAAAGTTGCCACCAGGGTGAAGGGCAGAGGTGGAGCAGCTGTCTGCTGAGTTTGAACAGCCAGACACAAGGGCTATTAGAAAAGCTCAGCATGCAGCTATAGGGCTCAGGGAAGCTTGGAAGAGCACTTTAACAGCAAGCAACAATAATGTGTTGTGGTGTACTGTGCTCTGCCTGGCCCTGCCGTTTTGAGGCCTTTTAGGAATTGTATGGTGCTTGGTGCACATCTATGAATATAACACTGTCAATGCACCTATTAATTTTTACAGTGTACATTTGTGATTATTACCCTGTGTTTGTCACTGGTCCTAAGAGTTGTATCACACTGTACAACAAGAAGTGGCTGCTTTCAGAACTGCGAGGCACTCTGCAGCATATGCTGTGAACTAATGAAGATTAATTATTTTCCAGTTTTGTTTAGTAACAAAACTAGTGCAAAGAAAAATCTGTGCAATCTAACAGCAAATACATTAAGAACTTAATAAATTAATGGATCAGAACTTAACAAGGGGAAAGAACATTCATGTCCGTTTTACCTACACATACTGCAACTGTGGATTTCACAGGTCAGTGTATGTGAAACTGTGTTTGTCCTTAATGTCCCCTGCGGTGAAGTGGTAGGGTAGGGATATGGCCCCTGACACCACCTGGAATGTTGAGGGGAATATAGGGAGATGCTGTAATGGAGTTCTCTGTGGACTGCAAAGGGAGGTGATCCTGTGATTGTTGAATCTGTAGCGTCTGGAGAAGTGCCATTATGTCCTGGTGAATCTCCCTCTCCTGGGACTCCTGGGCCAAAACCCTGTATGATCTTTCCTTCTCCAGGATGTCTGCAATGTTTACCTTCCAGGCCCTTTGCCATGATATGATTCAGCACTGACTTGTAGGATCTCACTGAACATGTCATCCCTAGTCCTCTTCTTTTTCCTCTGTAAGTGGCTCAGGCATTCCATGGGTGTGGAAGGGGAAACCCCTCAAGATCACAGCAGTAACTGCAGATAAAACACACAGAGGTACCATTGTCAATATAGTCACAATGTAAAGTGAAAGTTAAGATTCAGAACTTCCCCCTTTCCTTGTTAAACCAGACATGCTTATGCACACTTCTGCTGTCGAGTACTTGTGCATGGCACCACTCACAGCACTGGCCAGAGTAAGTAAGGCCCACAAGGGTGAGGGAAATGAGGAGGAAATTTCTCGGTTGCATGAAAGTATATGTAGAGGGCAATAGCACACTTACCTGAGGTTCTTTCCCCTGCATCGGGCTCATCCATGCTCAACTACCAGGACTGACTGGATGGGTGGAGTCTCAAACAGGTCCCGGCTTGTGGCATAGCTGGACCTCCTGGTCACATGTCCCCCATCCTCCTCCATCTCCTCCTCACAGTTCACACCAGGATCCCGTGACTTGGGCTCCTTGGAGGTATCCACAAGGTGTTCTGCAGGGTGGTAGTGGGGTCTTTGCCAAGTTCAGCATGCAGCTCTTTGTAAAAATGGCAGGTCTGTGGCTCAGCACCACATTGACAGTTTGTCTCTCTGGCCTTCTGATATGCCTGCTGCAGTTCCTTTGCTTTCACAAGGCACTGCGGCTGATCCCTGTTGTACTCCTTCTCCTGCATCCCCTGAGCAATCTGCTCATAAATGTCCATGTTTCTGTGACTGGTCCATAGCTGTGCTTTCACAGTGTCTTCTTCCCACAGGCCAGGAGATCCAATATCTCCTGTCTACTCCAAGCCAGAGCACATCTGGAGTGTGTAGCCAGCATGGCCAGCTGGGCAGTTGCTCACAAAAATGGAGAACTGCTAAGTGTGCTCACCAAGCTGGATAATCAGGAAAATACATTTCAAAAATGTGCAAGATTTTAAAGGGGAAGGGGACCTTCCAGTCTCAATGACCCTGGGCAGTGGAGCTATCAATTGTGACCAGAGCAGTCAGTGTCTGGCATTGTGGTATAGCTGCTGGAGGTCTGTTAGTTTGACATAAGTAACAGTCACATTGCATCGACCTCAGTACATCGACCATGGCTCAACACTGCTCATTGCTGTAACAAGCCACTTAGATCAGTGGGAGACAAATTTAAATGTAGACACATGCACAACTAGGTCAATGCAAGGTGGCTTATGTCAGCCTAACTATGTAGTGTAGACAAGGCCTGTAGCTTGAAAGCTTGTCTCTTTCACCAACAGAAGTTGGTGCAATGAAAGATATTATCTTACCCACCTTGTCTCTTCAGTAAATTTTGTGGCAGAGATCTGAGATCAGATCAGAGATCTAACGTATTTTTCACAAGAGTACAGTGAGGGATGCTGAAAGGTAGTCCCAGGGGTATGTGTCTCGGGGGGAGTTTGGAGAGCAAGCCTGACTTGTACTCCCCCTACAGAGGCAGCTCTTGTCTGCAGAGCTGGGCATTACAACCTGGCACACAGGGTCGCAGCACTACTTAGGTTTGGCCTGTCCGCCCCTCTGTAGATGAAGGCAGATGGGCCAAACCTGATTGGTACTGTGACGCCGTGCACCAGGTTGCAACGCTACTCGATTTGGGGCCTAATCAAATATGTTTTTACAGCCATTTCCAAGATTTCACAGACTTTACTTAAATTCATGATTACCATGACCTCCATGACAAAATCATAGCCCTAGCTATCGCCTCCACTTCTCTCCCTTATGCTACTGCTGTTAATCACCAAGAGCAATAGCTAGGAGCCAGGCAAACCTTGTATTATTTTGAATTAGGATTTTCTACTCTGTATATTCTAGCTCTAATTCCTAACTCTGACAGGCTAATGATGGTTTGTTTTCTTTAATTTGGTTGTTGAATGTTTATTTCATGCTGGTACATTACATTACCATATACATAGCCTTCATTGTTGTCAAGTGTCTTGCAATACAAGTCTCATTTCCATGCCATGAGTCAGGCAGGATTTTGATCAGAGGCTCCCTGCAATAAGCCCCCATTCTGGCCTCCTTTCCTTCCTGTTGTTTTCAGTCTGATTACAAGGAAGACTGAGCAATGCAGACTTACTGTCAATTTTTCTGACTCCTAGCATTCATTCACCTGGGGCTGATTTCCTGCTTTGAGATTGCCCCCTGCTGTGCTGTGCTGAGACACCTCAACAAAGCCTTGAGGTTTCAGTGCATTCTGAAAGCAGAGACAATGTGGCTAGCAAGGAGTGAATGAAATGGAGAAAAGTCTACTGACAGCATGCACAAATGCTGGGTCTCCTACGTTTTGGTGCCCAGTTCACCTCCTGCTAGGGCTGGCCTGCCCAGGATCCTGCTATGAAGAAAAGGCTGAAATAGAGAAATATGCTAATTTCTTTATCAACAAGAGCAACACCCAATTAATAGCTTTCAAGTGCTGTCAGCAGTTTTGCTGTCCTATGGCCCTGTTCAGCAATGTGCTGAGTGCTCATAGACTCATAGACTTTAAGGTCAGAAGGGACCATTATGATCATCTAGTCTGACCTCCTGCACAATGCAGGCCACAAAATCTCACCCACCCACTCCTGTAGCAAACCTCTAGCCTATGCCTGAGTTATTGAAGTCCTCAAATCGTGGTTTAAAGACCTCAAGGTGCAGAGAATCCTCCAGCAAGTGACCCGTGCCCCACGCTGCAGAGGAAGGCGAAAAACCTCCAGGGCCTCTGCCAATCTGCCCTGGAGGAAAATTCCTTCCCGACCCCAAATATGGCGATCAGTTAAACCCTGAGCAGGTGGGGAAGACTCACCAGCCAGCACCCAGGAAAGAATTCTCTGTAGTAACTCAGATCCCACCCCATCTAACATCCCATCACAGACCATTGGGCATATTTACCTGCTAATAACCAAAGATCAATTAATTGCCAAAATTAGGCTATCCCATCATACCATCCCCTCCATAAACTTATCAAGCTTAGTCTTGAAGCCAGATATGTCTCTTGCCCCCACTACTCCCCTTGGAAGGCAGTTCCAGAACTTCACTCCTCTAATGGTTAGAAACCTTCATCTAATTTCAAGTCTAAACTTCCTAATGTCCAGTTTATATCCATTTGTTCTTGTGTCCACATTGGTACTAAGCTTAAATAATTCCTCTCCCTCCCTGATATTTATCCCTCTGATATATTTATAAAGAGCAATCATATCTCCCCTCAGCCTTCTTTTGGTTAGGCTAAACAAGCCAAGCTCTTTGAGTCTCCTTTCATAAGACAGGCTTTCCATTCCTCGGATCATCCTAGTAGCCCTTCTCTGTACCTGTTCCAGTTTGAATTCATCCTTCTTAAACATGCTCTCACCTCTCATTGATTTCGTTAGGAGTTAAAGGTCCTGAGTCCCTCACAAGACTGGGCATTTAATAACCAGAATTCTAAAATGCTACCCTCCTTTATCGTCTCCATGTTGATTTCTTGCATTGTTATATTGTTGGCCAAAGGACCAGTGCAAGACAATGACTTTTCTGAGCCAATTTCATCAACTTTCCATGGATTTCATGGAATATGAAAAGAGTAGAGATGTTCTGTTTTGAGGTGCTCAAACACCGTTTGTCCTCTGTTGAATAGAGTTGCAGTGCTGGACAAAGTTACAGATTTCTTGTTGTTCCTTGGGAAACTTCTCGTTGCTGGCGGTGTAGGTAAGTCAGTTATTTCAATGTGATGTTGATTCTTATTCCCTACTAGCCTAGAATGTGCTAAACTTCTGTGCTCAGACAACACATCAAGGACTTGCTCTTGCAAACCTTGATACCATAAGTACTAATCACATGAGCAAAGAATTGCAGGATTGAGCCCAAAGAAGCATGTTTTCCCTCTCTTTTTTTTCATCTTACTTTGTGCATTTGACAGTATTTTTTGTATAGTCACTTCCACTGTTCTTGTGGAAGGTTGACACGCTGGGGATTGAACTGGGGACCTCCAGAACTAAAAGCATAAGCCTCTACACCTTGAACTAAAGTAGTTTGCCTTTGACTGTAACAGACTCATATCCTCAGTGGATCTGGCAGAGAGGGGAACCTGTAGTATACCATCCCCAGTGTGTTACAGGTGCACATTCTTCCTCAGACTGTGCAAGAGGGTATTTATCAGCCGCAACAGCAGCACTGTAACTGAAACTGAACTGTCAGCAAGCTGCATGCAGGTGTGTGTATGGAGAGACGGGGTGGGCCTAAGCATCTTTTGTAGTGTTGCATTCAGGCCTGTCCAAAGGACCCTTCCAAACACAAGCAGGGGAGCAGACAAAACCTAACATTTTTACAGTTTTTACTTTCATACTAATAAAAGTCAGGACATACTCTTCAGTGTGCTGCGGCAGAAAACCAATTTTCTTTTTAATTGGTCCATTTCAAAAATTCAAGTTGACGGTGTCCCCTTCAGGCCTTTTAAACTGTCACAAGAGTTTCAAAACATGATTTCATTGATGGCCATCTTTTATATTTTGTGTATTTTTAAAAAAAGTCCTAAATGGATTATTTTTTACCAGCAGATGAAAATTAGAATTGAGACCAAATCTGTAATGTTTTTGTCATTACTATAGACTGACTTTCAAAATGGGAAGGCAAATGTGATTTGAAACTGTCTCTGAAATGTGAGCCATGAAATGCTGAAATTGATTCATGTTTTCCTCCTCCTTAAGGATACATTCTGTAGGATAATTCATTAACATGTCTTTTCTGTTCTGCGTAGCACAGATATGATGATGTATGTAGCTCTAGATTTATCATTAAGTGTATTTATCAATAGCTATGCCATTTCTATTTTTAATCTCAAATGGTTAAATATTCCTCCAAGAGGTGAAAGCTAAAGCCACAGGCTTTTGCTCACGTATGCTTTTTAATTTATTTTTTTTTCAAGATCAGTCTGATGGTCTTTTATATTATCATATTTTTTGTATCATGTATTCTTATTTATTAGTTTTGATATAAAACCCAGTCTGACTCATGAAATAAAACAATTGAGTCAGGTCTTTCTGGCCCCACAAGTATCTTTATGATAATTCATTTATATGCCATTTCTGTTCTAGTCAGAATACAGATCCTGGGGATAATTGATATCTAGAGATTTATTGCTCAAAACCTCCTGAGTCTGTTTTCAGCTGTGCCTGTCTTACCCATTCTTCATGAGTGTTGAAGTCCCAGATACCTATGTGAATAACTAATGGCCTGTGCTCTGTGCTTCTTACAGGTGTTCTAGCCTTCTTTTTCTTCACACATAGAATACCAGTGTTCAAACAAGAAACCCCAACATTAAATTACTACTGGGTACCCCTGTTGGTAAGGATGCAGTTTACATTCTTAGGACACTGTGGGAGTTTTGAGGGGCAGCTCTGGGTCAGTTCTTGGGGAGCACTTACTGGCAACTGCATCTCCACCATCCTGTCAATGGGCGCAGCATCCTCTTCTGTGGCTAGCCAGCTCTGCCAAACTCCATCCCTCCCTGACTCAGTTCAGATAGCTTTGTACCATTATGGTGCTGCAGTGAGCCTCAAGGGACTTGGTACCTTCTGTGTGCAGGAGAGTTCGGTTCCATGCCAGCTCTGCACAAACCTCCACACACAGCACTGGGGTAGACGATGGGGAACCAATTGCAGCATGTCTTCCTAAGGGATGAGGTCTACAGAGCAAAGAGAAAGCACTTGGCTCCTATGTAAATGCTTTCCCTGTGGAGTCCCTCATAGATCTGGGGATATCTGCAGGTTGGGTGGTGGGCCCTCTTTCTTGAAGGGGCAATCTGAGAGAACTCCATGAACTGAAACAGAGTTTCATAGCCCTTGTGTGGGTTTTCCTGCACTGGGAACAACATGATTCCAAGTTGCCATCTTAGAAATTGGTAACAGGTGTATGTCACCACACAGTGACTTTAATCTGTGATCTTTTGCCTCAGCAGCAAGCCTACTGCAGAGTTATGGAACTATAAATAAATCCTTTCCTGTTGGTTTAGCAGACTTTCTTGTTTGTTCTTGTTCTTTGAGGTGATGTTGCCATGATAGTGTCAAATGTATGTTTTTGGGTTTTTTTGCAGACTGTCATTATTGGCTCTTACCTAATTGCACATGGGTTCTTCAGTGTCTATGCAATGTGCGTTGATACACTTTTCCTCTGCTTTTGTAAGTATTGAGTTCTCTTTCATTAACACTCTTCTTCTGATGACATGCAGGTAAAGAGCCACCTTGTCAGTTTCCTTACAGAATTCATGTGACATGCTGGCATATTGTGGGAATAAGGAATTGCTGCTGTTCTTAATACAGGTGGTTTAATTTTGCTACCGAGGGGCTTGTAAAGCTCTATGATCAGATATGCCTTCATTAGCCTATTTGCCAAGCTAGTGAAATGTATCTGGGGCTCACTGGGGTATCTGGCTTTTTGTTTATTAAATGTTTCCTAATTTTTACTAACACTTTGCTTCTGGGTGTTTTGTAACCAGACGTGTCCAGCGACAATTCACTCACACGTCTTACTAATGCCAATGGGCTTTGCACATAGGTGTTCTCTTCAGCAAATGCTTTATGTGGTTGATAATGTCACTGTCCTTTGGTTACATACTAATAACCACGACCAAAGCTTCATGCTGACTTAACATGAAATTACCTTAAAATACTATTTTAAAACTCTCAGTCCCGTGTGACCCCATAACAAACAGTTGCTGACTCTTGAAAGGGAAGCGGTTAGGGGCATGTTTGACTTCTTGTTCAGGAATGCTCAAATTACCAGAGAAATCAATTGATCTCATTTAGACCCTAAGTATAAGAACAAGGTGTACTCGCTAAAGGGAACTCATTCCATTTGCCAGACTTAATAAAATTTAAAACATAAAGATTGGATTCTACTGTAATGGGAGCAGTAGAGTAGACCTTGGCAGGTCAGAGCAGGAGTACATTGCACTGGTTAACATTGTATCTGGCTGCATTATTTGACTGTGCTAACTAGTCAATAGTCCCTATGGCCAAGGGTTCCTAAGTGCATATTGTGGCAGTGGGACCTTGAGGCAGGTAAGCACGACTAAGGGCTTAATTGCCTCCCCCACCTCCTATCTGGATAAATTCTCTAACTCCTCTGAAATCTAGCCCCATTGTTAGAAACAAAGTACAGTAACTCCTCACTTAACGTTGTAGTTATGTTCCTGAAAAATGCAACTTTAAGTGAAACAATGTTAAACGAATCCAATTGTCCATAAGATTTAATGTAAATGCGGGGGGTTATGTTCCAAGGAATTTTTTTGGGGGCAGACAAAAGGCATTATACTTTATACTGTACTGTACTGTACTGTGGTTGGGAAGTGCCCCTGGCTTACCCCACACAGGCACAGCCCACTGCAGGCAAGGACGCTAGGAAGCATCTTTGCAGCAGCAGCGGCAGCTTCCCCGGAGAACAGGCTCAGATTTTGCCGGGAATGCTCCAGGTCCGCCTCTTCCTGTCCCCGCTGCACTCCAGGCCCACCTCTTCCCACCCCCACTCCACATCCCTCCCCCCCAAAGTCCTAAGCACCCTTCCCGCTCCTGCCCCTCCCTCCCAGAAAGTCCTAAGCGCGAAGTGCTGGGAGGGAGATGCAGGAGTGGGGAAGCCCCGCATCTCCACTCCTCCCCCTCCCTCCCAGAAAATCCTAAGCGCTGCTAAACAGCTGTTTGGTGGTGCTTAGGATTTTCTGGGATGGAGTGAGGGTGGGGAGGAGCGGAGACGCAGGGCTTCCCCGCTCCTCCCCATCCCTCCCAGAAAGTCCTAAGCCCAAAGTGCTGGGAGGGAGGGGGAGGAGCAGGGAAGCCCCGCGTCTCCACTCCTCCCCCTCCCTCCCAGAAAATCCTAAGAGCTGCTAAACTGCTGTTTGGCGTTCCTTAGGACTTTCTGGGAGGGAGGGAGAGGAGCAGAGACACAGCGCTTCCCCACTCCTGCTCCTCCCTCCCAGCACTTCACGCTTAGGACTTTCTAGGAGGGAGGGGCAGGAGTGGGGAAGTCCTGCATCTCCATTCCTCCCCCTCCCTCCCAGAAAGTCCTAAGTGCCGCCAAACAGCTGTTTGGTGGTGGGGGAAGCGCTGGAAGGGAGGGGGAGGAGGCGGAGAAGCAGAACTTGTGCAATGCTCCCTTGTAAAGTCGCTGCTCTTCCACAGAATGTTGCAAGCAGGCAGCCAAACAATGTTATAAGGGAGCATGCACAACTTTAAATGAGCATGTTCCCTAATTGAGCAGGGACGTAACATTGAAACAACGTTAAGTGGGACAACGTTAAATGAGTTACTGTAGTGAATTGGACCCCAAGCTCAGCCCTTGCCGCCTGGAGCCTCCGTTCCCTTGGAACAGGCCAGAACACCAGTGACACAGGACTTGGAGCACACTGGCATGCCGGGGGTGACACAGAATAAAGTAAATCAAAACCATTTCCTGACCTCCTCCTACCACCTTTAATAACCATCTGTATTTATTTATTGCAATGGGCCCTGTTTCTCCTTTCACAGCAATGTAAATCAGGAGTAATCCACTGATGTGAGAGGAATCAGAGAGGAGGCGTTTAGATAGGGTTACCATATCTCATAAATAAAAAAAGAGGACCCTCCACGGGCCCTGGCCCCGCCCATTTCCCCACCCCCCAGCCCCGCCCCAACTCCGCCCCTTCTCCACCCTAACTCCGCCCCCTCCTCCCTTCCACTCCCAGCCAGGGGGAAAGGGCTGCCCCAGTGCTACCGGCTTCAGGGTTTGCCGGGCAGCCCTCAGACCCTGCGCCCCCAGCCGGCGCTTCCCCAGTGCAGCTGGAGCCCGGGAGGGGAAGCGCCCAGCCGGGGGCGCAGGGTCTGGAGGCTGCCCGGCAAACCGTGAAGCCGGTAGCGCT